GCCAGGGAGTACAGAATTATAATAATGTTGACAGTAGCATCAAGGGGATTTATAACATTGTATCTGCTCTTCAGATGTCAGACACCTTGCGAGGGATCACAGTCATGTAGGCTTTACTTGTATGAGCTTTTCCATTGATGACTTTAGTGACACATACACTTCTTTCCTTGCCTTTTTATATAACCTTATTGTAACTATCTCATGATTACATTGCTTCAAAAGCTCTCTCTTCTTAAATTGCATTGCAATCATCCATTTTATTTGTACAATAGTATTTGATTACACAATATGCATTTGTTATGCATATATTATGGTGTATATACAGTTATACAATTGTACATATAGTTCTTATGTGTGCAATTGTAATTACACGTATTTGCTCAATAATAAAACTTGATAAGAAACATTTTTTCAGTTTTTTTCTAAAATAGCTGTGCTCTTTACTCAGAAAAGGACAGCGTTACTCCTCGGAACTATTAACAATCTTCCGTCTAACAGGAAGGAAAGTATTGATAACCAAAGGCATACCAGATACCTAAGGGAGATGACATAATTAGCATTCATTATTAATGAAGCTATTGCCTCATTCTCATGAAATACAGAGCACTTAATACTCTGTTTACCTCATCTTCTCATCAACAAATACATTCCCTCTAGAATGTGATGTTACACATCCCCACCTGGGAGATCTGTTCACATGGCATCCACTAATTAGAAGCCTCAGTTCAGTTTACATTGACTTTGCCTTGCCTTTGGCTTTAGTTTACTTGGGTTTGTAATCCTAGTGCACATCACAGTATGATATTTAACACATTAATCTTCATATCTGACAAGAATCATGACATAAAAACTACTGTCCAGAGAATAATAGGAGCAGCGAGCCAATTTTAGGTGCTTTTTTTTTTTTCTGCTTACTAGTTATTTAGAATGAAATGCAGCATATAAACTGGAGTAAGACTAGCTGGCAGTGAGCATAAGGATATGCTAGCAGAGCACCTCATACACAGGGCATGTACTCCCTTTTACAGTTCATCTTCTGCCACATTTTGTGTCATATCAAAACTTTTCATAATGCTGGGAAGAACTGGAGGCTGGTTTTGTAAGATGTTTACAGGCAAGAGATTCCTATTACGGGTTGTTTTACAAGTTTAAGAACTAGGTATCCCAGAAGGGCCTTAAATAACATAATATTTATTTATATAAATATATGTAAATAACAGACCAGAGTTGCTGAAAAAGAAGGTGACAAAGGTCTGGGAGGAAGGGGAGGAGGTGAGTAGGTACACCAAAGGGAGGGTAAGGAAGCAATGTCAGCAGTTGCAGGCCATGTCTGATAAAGCATTGCCAATGTTTCCCAGCAAGACTGGACTGGAAGAAGGTTGCAAACCACAGTTTTGTACTTGTAACTGCTGTAAGATCCTGAAAGGTAACAAATACTCACATATCCTGCAGTCTTTAGGAACCATTTCAAGTGATCCCAAAGGATAGGAAATTATCATTAAGTGTAACTTAGTAGTGTAGCTGTTTAAGTCAAAGAGGTCAAAAACATTGTAAGAACTCTGGATAGCAAATCAGCCTTTCTTTCTACTGCCTTTTAATTTCAGGAAGTTTTACATAAATGTCTATGAATTGCACTGTCTTAAATGTCACTTTTGCAGTGATGCCTACAATGAACAGGTGACCAATACTAGATTGCTGTATGCAGCATGCTGAGACTCATCTGCAAGTGAGGTAATCCATAAATGCAGAGATGAATAAAGGTGAAAATAAAAAATCAATAAAAAGATTTTTTAAAATAAAGGAATTTTAAAATAAATCAATAGTAATAATAATAATAAACCCCAAAACAAACCAACAGGTAAAGGCCCCAGTAGAGATCTGGAAATAGCCTGTGGCTGTATAACCAGGAACAGTTTTTAATTTGTCTTCAGCTTTCGAAGTCTGCTGTCCATAGCATCAAACTTGGAAAATGAGCCCTATGCATGGTCAATAGCCTGTTTCTGTAAATGGGAAGTAGAGAGGAAGACTCCAAAGGAGTCTCTTCCAGCAGGACTTTTCAGCTATGAAAGAAGTGAGAAGACAGGCCACCAGAGGGTTCTATAAAACAACCAGTGATGAACGTAACAGAGAATGATTACTCACAGCTCCCCCTTCCCATGTACTGGCAAACAGGGAGTGATGCAGGCACTGAGCAGCGCTACCTCATGACTGTCTAGAATATTTTACCTAGGCTCCTAATTCAGAGGAGCACAGGTCTCGCTTAAGTCTGGTCTCATTTCAGCCAAGGGTGTGCCTTCTCCAGCAAAAAGTCATTCAGGAGGATTAAAAGAATTATGATGAAGCATTATTTCTTACAGACAAATATAATTAAATGATATAAAAATAAATTATTGGGTTTCTTGCTTTCCACCTCCCTTTGACTCGTCAGCATGTCTGCATGGGCCATCCAGTAGAACACTACCATGGGACAATGACAGCAAAACTGTGATCTTGTCCCATGCTGAATTGACAAAATTTGGTTTCAAGCAAGGCAGTGGAGTCTGGCCACTTAACATCTAACAACATTGTGCTCACAAAGAAGGACCTGATCAACGTGCTGCTAGAACCAGTGGCTTCAAGGTTTGGTTCAACTGTGTTTTCAGACAGTAACATTTATATTTACCTTTAATGAACAACACTCATAAAGATAAAACACAGCTTAACAAAATAGTACTCAACAGTAATAATTGGCTTGATATATATTTGCATACAGTCACCCTGAGAAGACACATTGGACAGGTTTTTATAAGATCATAAACTCAAGAGAGGCAAGTTAATGGCTCTGTGCCTGGCCAGGAAGGCAGCCTGGCAGGAAGTGACTTAACTGCTCACTGGACTGCTCAAATCATCTGCAGAGGAAATTAATCTGTAGGTTAGCCCAGAAGACTCTCACTGCCAGAATGGATTAAATCCTCCTACCACTGGGCTATTCTAGCACTCCAAAACCACTTAACCATGTGATTATTTGCAGGGGAAGTTGGCTTAAAAGGCAAACGAAGTTAGCAATGTTTCCTGCCAAGGCACTGATAAATGGGTTCTGTAGCAATGGCAACGGTGAGGGAGAGAGTAAATCAGCAGCAGGTGTGATTTTCTTATTACTGTGTGCTTCCCTTTTATCTTGAATGCTCTGAATTCATGCTATGAATCAGAAGCAATACTAATACCACAACAGTAGTATTTCAACTGGTCTGGTAAAGAAAGACCTCAGCAGTATGCTCTTCCAAATTTATTCTTTGGTTGCTTACCTAACACACTCAGGTCACCAGGACCTCTTTGCAGGCAATTTGAAAGGACAACAGTGCTTTTTTCTTTTTTCCTGTTAATGATACCTAAAACATACAGAAGTGGCAGATAGCAACCCAGCCATGCTCTTTCCAGGGCTGCAAAGCTCTGCAAACAAAACTCCTTCGCTGATCTGGAAAAGTCTCCTTGGCATTATCAAACTTGTCCTGATGAGCTCAACAGTATTGTTTTGAAGGGTGCAAGATTGACTTGTAATTTAGTAAAGAGAGGTGCTAGAATGTGGGAGGTCTTCAGTTCTCAGATGTTCTCAGCAAGAACAGGTTTGAACCTGTATCAATTTCTTGTTTCCTCCACCCCCAGAACACATGGTATCTTAAGTGAGACCACTCACTACCATTTCTTCTTGAAGGGGCCATTTCACAACCAAGAATATGAGAGAAATTAAGTCAGAAGAGCAAAATTATAATTACACTGCACCTTACATGTCTCATTGATTTAAGCTGCAGCTGTTAAGTACTCAGGATATCTGCAAATCAGGCCTTGAAATGGCAAGCATTAAAGACTGAACGTACAAAGTTTGCACTTACTAGTTGTCCTGGGTTTAGCAGTAGTAGTCAGTTTTTCTCCTTCTTGGTAGCTGGTGCAGCACTCTGTTCTGACTTCAGCCTGGAAACAGTGCTGATAATACCAATGTTTTCAGTTGTTGCTAAGTAATGTTTACCCTGACCAAGGGACTTTGTGAGGCTCATGCTCTGCCAGGGAGGAGGGGAAGCCGGGAGGAAGCAGAGACAGGACACCTGACCCAGGCTAGCCAAAGAGGTATTCCATACCACAGCACGTCATGCCCAGGATGTAACTGGGAGTTACCCAGAAGGACATGGGCTTCTGGGTCGGAATCATTTCTCTGCGGGTGGTATTGTAGTCTCTTCCCTTGTTATTTTCTCTTATTGGTGGTGGTGGTGGTGGTAGTGGTGGTGATTTGTGTTGTACGTTGGTTGCCTGACTGTTCTTGTCTCAACCTGTGGGAGTTGCACTCTTTCAATTCTCCTTCCCATCCCTTTGGGAGCAGGGAAGGGGAGAGCCCGGGGGGGGGTGTGTGTGTGCAAATCAAAAGAGAATCAAATATTCTTTGTGCTAGCAAGCCACTCAAAGGATTTACTGTGCTGTAAGCAATCACTTCATTCTCTGTTTACCTTTCAGGTAATAACAACAATATTCTGTGGAGAATTCAAATACAGAAGAAACATACCAGGCAAGTCACTGGAAGAAATGTAAGGCTTACCCTTCTCTGTAAACATGTAATGCATTAGCAAATTAATTTTCCATTAGCAAATGAATGACATAGAATGCAGCATGCTACAGAAGATGAACTACATATCTGATACAGCAGAACTCTAATCGCAATTAAAATAGTCAAGTAAACACAATCTGAGTCAGAGCCAAGCTATACTATGGTAGCTCTTCACCATGCTGCTAGATTTGAAGTGTAGCTTATATGTGTGAAAGTTAAGTTACTAAGGACTCCCATTCAAACACCAGAGTTTTGTGTCTCTGCAGTGGAGAACCGTATGTTTATTACATAGTTGGGTTCTGATAAAATGACCCAGAATACAGACACAGATCTGAACCAGTGCATTTAAAATAAAAAAATCCCCAAACAAACAAAAGAAAAACCCTACCAAAACCAACCAAACGAAAAAACTCCAGAAACAAAAAGCTCTTGATCCATGTCTTCAACATCAGCAGTGTGACAACTGTAACGAGCACAGTAACCAGAGATACAGCAAAATTGTCACGAGGACAGTAATACAGAAATACTTACCATAGCATGATGATAAATCATGATATTGCTAACCACACTGAGAAAACAACATATATACAAAAGCAAAATATAATGACATAGCTTTAGCATCATCATTTTTCTGAAGTGGGACAGTCATTCGGAAGGACAACCCGAATCACGCAGAGTTCTAACTGCTACAGGAACTAAAGGATAACAGTCAATTAAGCCTGCTTTTCTGCAAGATTCACTATATTCCAGGTATATGAACATACAAGTCTTCAGGTTACATCAGGTCAATCAAAGGATTCAACTGATATATGGAGTCTTGGGAACTGAAAGACACATCAGTCCTGCAGTATACACAGTCTGATGTAAAGTATACAGCATTTAAAGAAAGTATGTTCATTGTTATCAGCAGAGGTCCAGGATGATTGGTTTTAAAAACTTTGTAAATTATGGATACAATTGACAGAAGGATGGAGATTCAGGAGAACTGCACACGAAGTAATTTGGAGGATATATATGTTATGTGCTTGGATCTTTCCTAACCTCTTCATCCCAATCAAAATCTAAGGTAGCATCATCTAGTTCTGCTATTGAGAAGAGAGATTTCTGTGTGACCACACTGGCTTTACTAGCATTTTCCAATGCAAAACTCTTCCTTCTGCTAGGATTACTCATGTGCACCTTCAAGTGGCTATGGCTTTCCTTGTTAGTGTCAACCTTAACGGTAGATGAGGTCGTCAACTGGGACTCAGGATGTGGTGCAAAGGAGAATGTTGACAGTTTGGCTAATGTGCTGAAGCGCACCTTCCCCGTGCTTGGGCCACTCAGCTTCTCCTCTCCCTCCTTTTTCTTTTCAGTGGGTGGAGATGACACAGCATCAAACCTGACATGAGAGTGTACTGTTGCATTTCCTCTGATCTCTTTCCCTAAGGCCTGATTCTGTTGCTCTTCTCTCTCTTTATTATCAATTGATCGTTTTTCCACACGAGCTTTTCCTAAGCGACTCAATCTCATATTGCATTTCTCAGGGGGGCAGCATTCCTCTAGCAGCTGCTCTCCCTGGAGCTGCTCTCCAGGCTTAAAAATAGTTTCACTCTGAAAAAGAGAAAAGTCTTCATTTTTCTTCTCTGAAGAATGATTAAGTTTTGTCCTTGCTCTGAAAGTAAATTTAGCTAGTTTAGCGGCTGGAGGACTTTCACTGTCAAGGATTTCTGGCTCATGGGAACCTGCTACATTTGTTTCCTTCACTATTCGACCTTTACTTCGCTTTCTCATGGAAACTGTTGCTGGTTTTGCTGCTACACATACACTGTTCTTTTCCTCCGGTAAAGAATCTGCATCACTTGAAAGATCTGACAGGCCAGATGCATGTAATACTGAAGGAAGGGCCTTTGCCTCAGGGTCCTCTGTACTTGTAAAGAATCCATGTGATTTCTCAGTGTGCAGTCTCTGACAGCGTTTTGAAACCCGTTGTGTAATAACTGAATCCTGCACACTAGCAGTTGGTGATGCTGGGTTTTCAATATTTGCTTCTGAAGAAGAACAGTTGTGTTCTTCAGTCCTTGATCTGCTTAACTTGGAAACTTTGTCTTGCTCCAAAGGAGCATATAGATTCACAGTTGCTAGTGACTCTTTCATTCCATTTTCCTTTTTTGGTACTGAAGCACTTCTTTCTTCAGAAGAGGATGTTTTACACAGGGCTTTTGAAGTCCTGTTACTTGGAGATATCTTGGGCACTGAAGACTTTTTCTGAAAAGTTTCTTCAGCATCAGTGGTGCTCTCTTCCAAACTGTCAAACCACGCCAAGCTGCCTTCACTACCTCTCTTGATCAAGTGGTTTGCATTCTTATTATTACCATATGCTGGGCTGCACAAGGGTTCTAAATGTATACTCCCTTCACAGTTGTCTTCGGGCAAAGAAGGCTTTGGCTTGGAGTTATTCTCTTGTTGATTTGAAGGTTCTGACTGAGGCAGTTGCTTTGACTGCCCAAATGTATCCTTGTTCAAGCATCCTGTAATAGTATTGAAACCTGTCTGTTCAGGCTGCAGCCGGCATGGATTTTCCTTTTGTAATCTATGGATTGAAAACAAAAAATAAGCAACAGTTATTTTTCTTTTTTTTCTTTCTTTATTGCATTAGTGATGTTTAGTATATATGACTGGTGAAGAGCTACAAATAATGTAGGCCATGAAAGTGCATTAGTAAGTTTCACATATAGCTCCAAAAGCTGGTGTTGCAGTCTGTGATCTTTCAGCACCTTCTACAGTAAGCAGCAGAATTTAGTGTCCCCAGTAAACAACAGGCAGGTGGACAGAGAAAACAACCACATAAACTTCATTTCCTTGGGAGACAGAGAAAGAAACTAACAGCTTTGCACTACTTACAGCCATTGCTAGAGTCCCTTAGGGATTACACATTCTATAAGCACATCTTCTACAACAAGAACGTCATTAGATTTTATCCTGAGCAAAGCAAAGCCTTATATGAATTATCAGAATGGAAAACCTAGGTATTACTTGGAATTGTGGTTGCGGGTGGTTTTCTCTCATTATCACTATGGACTCAACATATCAAAACCTCCACGTGATAAGAGGAAAAACATCACAGATTACCTACAAAACTTAATTATCACTGTCTGTGGCTATTAATGTCCTCAGGGCCCTCCAAAACAACAGAGGTGCTAGAATAAGGGTTCTCCAATCTCAGTATAGCTGATATTCTATCTATTGTATGTACCTAAACATATGATTTCCAAGGGAGATAGCATTTTACTTCTTGCTAAACAGTGATTCTACTCATGAGGGAAGAACAGACACTTTCCATTCCAAAAGTGACTGCATTAGTGTAGGTGAAATGATTCCTATGCACTGTAAACAGTTCCTCTGCTATATGACCCCCAATACCATCCTACCTGTCTATGATCTCTTATGAACACCTCTGTTTTTACTAAAATCAGCTTTTGTCTGTCTGTTAGAGATATCCCACTTTAATCTGCTTTTACTGCCTCTGTGGTTATTTAAAATATTATCATGAGTTACAAAATAAGTCTGAAAAATATTTAAAGGAAAAGTGTACTTTCCCAGGTGTTTGCATTAGCTTTGATAATACTCATCTTTTCCTTTAACAATGAGTTCATGTAGAGCCTAATCTCATTTCATGAAACAAAAGAAATAGTTTTGTATTTTATTTCCTTTGCAATCCTAGTGTTTTCCTCTCAGCCTCAGTATGTTAAAAGTTTCCTATTAATAACAGAAAATAGACTTTCTAAAGATTATTGCTGTGACCTGAAAACTAAGGAGCAGACAGGGAGAACTTCCAGTGTATAGAAAGATTAAAAGAAGCGAACTTTGAATCAGGCTTATATTTTCCATTAACAGAAAGGGAAGCAGCCTGACCAGCTCAACACAGAAGGCAGCTTAAAAAATACGAAGCCGATCTGTTGTATTTTATCAAGCAGGTAACAAAAGGTTATATAAAATTATTTGCTCAGCTACAGAATCTGGCATTTTTGACCCTAAGAAGCTCCGCTGAAATTTATCCAAGCACAGAATTGAGATAGGAGTTGGGAACTGACTGAAACATTCTTAAATTCTTTATAAATTCCATAACCCAGAAGGAGAAATGATCCTGCAATGATCTGAGTGCTACTTTAAAACATTCTCCCTGCTTATGCATGTCCTCTAAAGAATAAGTCCCTTCCCAATGTCAGATTCTACTTTTAGACCCTCTCCAGATACTATTGTCAAACAATCATTCTTTGCTATTGAATTATTTTGTTGCTTTGCACATTATACCTGTCAAGTCTTTGTAGCTCTTTGTGCAGAAGACCTTGCAACTCCAATCGCTCCAATATGAGTTCGCATTGTATACGGTACTGAGCCATTGGATCTTCAGGGAATGAGGTGTGTAAGGCATTGATGCCTCCGAGAAGTGCACAACCCTATGTCACCAAAAAGATATATATAAAAAAAAATAATAAAAAGAAGCTATCTTTATAAATCAGTGCCAAATTTTAACAGCAGAGGCCACTTCACAAAAAATTCTTCCCCGGATTTTTTAAAGCTTAAATGATCAAGTATTTACTGAATAACTTTATTCACACTGTTAGGGCTGCCCACACAGGCAAAGCTAGTCATACACATAAAGCAATTAATTATATTATCAAATCTACAGTTTACAAGCACTGGTTTATTTTTATTCATACAAAAAATGGAAAATCCACCTAAGTCTTGAGAACATCAGAACTAAAAATGGAAATTAGTATTGAATTAGTTTTCTAAATACCTTGTCAAAATTCTGCCACATGAGCAACTTTTATAACTGAAGAAGTTCTGACTGTTGAAAGTCTTCATTAGCTTTGTCTAATTATTTAAATTGAAAGACCTGGGTATTAAGGCTTGTCAGCACAGGTTAAATTGACCAGCAAAAATATTTCTGAATAGCTCTTTAAGGGTAACTACCTGTTCAGGAATAACTCTAGAAAGCAAGTGATTTTAATCTGGGACAAATTTGCTGTGTCTTGTGAAAATTAAGTATTTTGAACAGAGCATCTGCACAAAATGATTAATTCCACAATAAATAATCTAGAATAGCATTGCAGATAATCACTCTTTGGGAAAAAAAAACCAACAAACCACAGCACAAACCCTCTATTTTGCCACAGACTGGCTAGCCTTTACCATGCCTGTCTAATCCATAAGGCTCAACACAACTAATGAACAGGATGCGTATCAAGCACCATGAGAGCAATAGTGAAAGTCAGTGGAGTCTCTAGAACCAGAAACTGCTATAATAGAAATCAGAGAATAGAATCATAGAACAGTTAGGGTTGGAAAGGACCTTAAGATCATCTAGTTCCAACCCCCCTGCCATGGGCAGGGACACCTCACACTAAACCATGTCACCCAAGACTCTGTGCAGCCTGGCCTTGAACACCGCCAGGGATGGAGCATTCACAATTTCCTTGGCCAACCCATTCCAGTGCCTCACCACCCTCACAGTAAATAATTCCTTTTCATTTTATGAAATTTTCTTTTCATTTATGGCAATTTCTGGTTCTTCCATTTTGAAATTTTAAAATTTTGAATTAAAAAAAAAAAATCAACCCAACATTGAATAAACATTATTCTCGTGGCTAATGAAAGCCCTCTAGAACTACACAGTGCTAAAATTAAGGCTGTCCATGTAACCATTAATGCGTTGTACTGAAGTTTTTGTTGTTTTTTTAACTTGTATCACTTCAGGAACATGAGAGATCTGTTCCACATAGAAACATTAGTCTGTAGCCATGGAAAAGGCTGTTGTAGAACCTCTTGTCATATTTGTTTTTAGGACCAGAAGATTCATAGTTAGTGATGCAGGGACTGCAGAAAGTCTAGTCTCTTGGTTAGGACACCTGAAAACAGCCAAAGAGAACTAGGTTCTCTCTCTGACACCAACTTCTAGTTCTTGTGATTCAGAATGAGCCAGTTAAGCAAAGGTTTTGAAAGGCAATAAAGCTGTAACTGGAATCCCAATGCGGTGTGTGCAAACAAGAAAACTGCAGTCAACAGGAAATGTGCTCAAATACTCCAAGAGCTACTATTACTCTGAAACTGGGGCCCTAACCATCTCTGTCATGGTTTAAGCTTAAACCATGACAATCTCTCATGGGGTATGCTCCAGCAGACAATTTGTTCAGGACAAGAAATAATTCAGCTCCAAATTTTAGAACAGGAGTAGCACCATTCCACCACTTCTTGAGGACTGCATGAAGATAAGTGAATTGATACTTCTGAAATACTCAAGTGCACTGGAGATGAATTCCATAGAAAAAACATATGAAGAAATTGAGAATTCCACCTTTACGACAGCAGATAATAAACAAAACATTGAACAAAACACTAACATAGGATTTGCATTTGGCTAGAGTACTGTCAACCTGTGACCTAAGGATCCAATGGAAAAAAAAAAAAAGGAATACATTATTATATACCTTGAGATATGCACCTAAGGGGTACAACTACATCTTGCCATCACTGACTTTTCATTGCTTTACTTGGCCACCACAATGAGTTTCTTTCATATATTCTTTTGTGTGTGTGTGAAATTCTAAGTGGGATGGGCCTAAGGTATCTGTAAAGTTTCATTTCTATGCTGTTGCTTATGTCTCTGAGATATCTGTCCCTCTGAGATACGATTTTGAATAGAGGAAGGCAGCCATATGACAAATCCACATGCTGTGGAACTGAGAGCAGAAGATCTATAACAGAGACACAGAATAAAGTATTACAGTGACAGTTACCAGAAAGTAAGAGTGTAAAAGTGCCTAAGGATGGGAAAACAAAATCATAGAATAGTTTGGCTTGGAAGGGACCTTCAAATGTCATCTAATCCAACCCCCCTGCAATGAGCAGGGACATCTTCAACTAGAGCAGCTTTCCCAGAACCACATCCAGTCTGGCCTTAAATGTCTCCAAGGATAGCACATCCACCACCTCCCTGGGCAACTTGTTCCAGTAAAATGTAAAATGGGAGTAAAAGGAGAGGGACTGGAAAGGGAATAAAACAAGGATAAAAACATGACCAAGAGAAGGAGAGAGAGGAGACAATGTCTACAAAAAGGAAATGAGGGAAATGAAAAGATCAAGCCAGGGGAAAATAGAATATACTCACAAAGCCAAGTTAGGAAAGAGAAAAATAAGAGTGAATTGGAGGATGAAACAAAACCCCCCAATGACCTAGGCTGGTGATGAAAATGTGATAGTATTTCCTCCCAAGGTGGCTCAAAAGAAATACCTGACCTAAGAACTGTGAACTTTTATTTTCTATTGGCATATTGGAATATGACATTTTGTAGATGTTGAAAAGACAGGTTGAAGATAGGGTTTGCTGAGCAGCCAGTCCTTCAAGAATGGCATTGATACTTCCCCATTTACAACTTCATTCTACAGACTGACAATTAGACCGGAAACACAGGATATATATAATATATAAATTCTTATAATAATAATTATTATTATATAAATTCTTGGGTTGTGTTTTCTTCTAGAGAAGGAATCAATTTCTGAAAATAAACTTTTGCATCTTACTTCTATTGTTTTGGTGTTAAATTACTTCCTTGGAAAAGAAACTGCTTTGGTGATTTGTTCATACTTTCCAGGAGGAAAGTAGAATTTGGCCTCAAATAGATCTCAAATTCCTAGCAAAAATGAACACAGTTGTCTACTTGCTCATGAATAGCAAAGAGTGGAGCAAATATGACAAGCATAACAACTACTCCCAGGTAGTCTTTTGCAGTCATAATTCAGGCAGATTTCTTACTGACTCTTATTAGATCAATGCTTGTTATGCAAACTGCAGCCCTTCAGGGCAGGGCTGCATAAATATGAAAAAGTGACCCACAGTTAAACCAATTCTTTTACATTTATTCACGCTGATGAGGTAGAGAGATACACAGATGACAATACATATTCATAACTATTATATACATACATTCCACTTTTTGATCAGTTATGAAACAGATTTCTTACATCCAAAACCATATTGCTTTGAAACCACCATCCCATCAAATTCCCACGTAGCTAATTACAGTTTTAATTACAGTTAATGAACACTTAAGTGATATCTTCTGCTATTTCAACTGGGTATATTAGCACTGCTTCTTTAACTTGGATGCAGTGCTGTCATTGAGAAGCTGAGCTCTTCACAACAGTGCAAGATGAATTGCAGCAGACAGTGAAATAATCCTTTGCTACTTAATAAGGTCAAGCTCTGCAGAATTTTTGAGACAAATTCCATTTGCAATACTGTGCAGTGCATTACTTGTGGCACGAGCTGCAATTAGTCTCTCAACTCTCATTGAAAGAACAAGGGAGATCACAAGTGCCTACCTGCCATGTGACTTTGTCATATCTACTCCAGCAAAGGTCTTTCAGGTCCACTGAGCTAACAGGTGCTATATAAAATTGTTTTAATTTGATTATATTCATATCAACCTATACAGAAACATAGGAAATACCATTTTGGATCAGACCAGTCATCTGTGCAGTGGAGTACACCATCTCTGACAGAGCCAAAACCAAATACTTCAGACATACTAGAAAACCTCATCCAAAACTTTGGATAATCTGCTCCAGGTAATTTTTTTTTTTTTCAGTTCCAAAGCATGAAGATTTATTTCCCTTAAAAGTATTCTATCTGAAGTAATAGTGTCTGTATTATTTTCTGCGTTTCCACTAACAATAGCGTCCACTCGATTTTAATTTCTTTTATTAATGTGTTGTTTTTTCTTTACATTCAACACCCTAATAATGTTAAACTAAAATATAACCTTCCAAATTTTTTCAATGCCTTTTTACATAGAAATACTACACAAATCCATGCGATAATTGGAACGCACAACTTTCAGTGCAACCAAAGTTTTGGAATTTTAAAGTTTCTCAGGGTAAAATAGTCTTCTAAAATTTCTTAGTTTTAGTATCACCAGTGGCATAATTTAAAATGATCCTGGCAACTGTTTGAAACATGCTCCAAAAAATGATTTGGTTCTCTCATACCTAGTTAATGAGTGACAAGATAAAATCATGGAAGAAAAGCCCATAAAAGGTTATTAAACACAGTGACATAGACACAATTTCTGCCTCTAAAGGTCTTTAAAATGTAAATTAATGAAAGTCAATAGTATGCCAAAACTTCGTTTAGACTGCAGTCTATTAAAAGAAAGGTACCAGGCCTTTATCATCAATCCAGATTTTTTAGTTTAAGAATTTTAGTAATCAAGATGGACTGAAAATGACTTGTCAAGGTCTCTGATGACCTACTTTCCATGAGAGAAAAAGAGGACTGTCATATATCTACATGATAAACTGAATCGTATAAATGTGGTACTGCAGCAATGGCAATGTCTGCAAGAAACCTTACCTGCATAGAAGATTCCATCACTGATACCACAGTTACAGCATCTTCCACAGTCACAGTATCCCTAAACATCAGCCGGGCATGAGCTATCGAAAATAAATGAAACAGAGAGTGTGATATAAAACACCCCTATCTACATAGGTACATATCATCATGATAAAGTAAAAAATTCAGTCTAATTTTCATCACAGGTCAGAAAAAGTCTGATTTCCTCTAACTGGTCTGAGTCACAAATTTCATATTATATTATTATATATTTTGTATTAAAATGTTTTTCCCTACAATAATTTTATTTCTTCTTCCTTCCTTAAAGACACCAAACAAAACAGATTTTTGTAAATGGACATAATGCAAAGAATTTACTCTATGAGGCTCTCCTCCTAAGTGGCTGTAGAAACACACACAGTTCTTTATCAGTAAGAGAAAGGCAGGTTAGTTAATACTATCTATATAATACTTCGAAAGAACTAAATGCTACTAAAAGCCCCAATCATGTGAACACATAAGAATGGAAGAAACACCGAATGTGAAAATAGCATGTGAATCCCTAAAAGTCAGGAATGCCGCTTAAATAATTTCTCCCCCCAAATGGAGAACAAAATGTAAATATCTGATGCAGGAAGCACCACATTGCTGACTGGCATATAAAAGTATAAAGACCATTTATGATTGCTATACAAAAATACAGTACATTCTTTTCAATTCATCCTGAAAATAGTTTACATGCCATTTCATAAGACAAAGTCATGTTAAGACACAGACCTACTGCTTCCTTTGGTTTTGTTCATATAACTGAAATATGATTTGAACTCAAGAGTTGGAAATGCTTAAGTCACTGCAAAATATCGACTTGATTATTGACTCTTTAGAAAACAAAAAGATGTTATTTTTGATGTTTTATCAATTTGAGGATAGAAGCAAATACTTAGCTCAAATGAAGTAAACTAAATCCTGAGACTGCTTTTCATCAATACAAATAACTTCTGAGATTTTCCTCTCAAATACGATTTCTTCCAGTGGTTTTAGTTTTTACTATGGGTGTGAGAACAGCAAAATTAAAACTGATTTTGATAATCTAAATGCAATACCCTTCCCCAAGTCTCTTTACATTAGAAAGATAAAACAATACAAGACTCACCTATCTCTACCTCCATGGAAAAGCTGCTACTCTGCTTACTGGCTGTAATTATACTCCACATCTATTCATTTTATGAAGGTTAATTGTTTGCCTAAAAATAAAACTGCCACCACTTTACCTTCTGCAAGGCGGATCAAACTCTCTAGTAAGCGAATGGTAGTTCGGGCAGCATTTCTGCAGTCACTCTGACGCTGCATTTGATAGTAGCGTACAAGGATCAGGTTGCTCTCACCAGACAATTTTGGCTGTATATTTTTGATAAGGCAGAAATAGGTTTTCATCTTTTCCATGCTCCAGAGCTTTTCGGATTTGCTTGGGCAACCTGTGTTACAACTGTCTAGTCATTAATTCTGTAACAATAGACATTAAGCTTTTTCCTAAGAATTCATGTTAAATGGACAGGTGACTATAAAAGACGCATTACCGTATTTCTGGGGCATACTGAGTTGTCTGTACACTTGCCTTCAAGGACTTGGTCAAATTCCAGTGTGGAATTTTACACAGCATCCAATTCCTCTCCTATCAAAATCTACAGTAAAGCCTCCAGTAATTTCAACAGAACTGCTGTCAGACTTACTGCCCACCAGATGGTACAATCAATACCAAGTGCTCCAGCATTCCTTAAAATGTTAAAATGCTACACTGAATGCATGTATCTCCTCTGGGTGTTCTACTTTGTAGGAGCCAAAAGCTACCTGCCATATTCTGAACATTTTTGTAGGGAAACATTTGGGAAGCAAAGGAAGCTAGCTGAAGAAGTTTCCTCTAATCACTTCTTGCCAAACACAGATCAAGGCCATGTTGCTGAAGTGGACGGAGAAGGAGCTGGTTAAAATTGTATCACACTGCCTTCCTTAATTCCAAAGCACTGAGCTCCATATAAGGAACACTACTGTTCATTCTTTGAGCCCTGAAGCACATGCAGCTCAGATTTGTTCTGTCTGAATTAAGTTTCCTATTAACAGTTTGTACAATTGCATGGTGTGTAGGATCTGCACATGAAGCAATGTAAAAGTGCAAGATGGAAACTATCTACTTACTGAGCAGTCCAGGCCAAAATCTCTTGTAAATGATCATAAAGTGTTCTAAGTTTACTGCTGTTAATTAATTAGTGGTATCTACCTTATTCCTACTTGAAAAACAACCATACCACAGGCAACTAGCATAGCAAAAATGTTAGGCACTGATTAGTATGAAAGACTCAAGAACAACCAACTAAACTGAAAAATGGGGACAGTTATAAAAAAAAAAAAAAGCATACCCCCCCCCCCCCCAAACACTCCACTCCCCCAACTACTTTTACCTTTATTCTGCAAAATGAAGGACGAAACGATGCGGTCCCATTCCTCGTTCTTTGTATCTAACAATACTAAGACCAGGTCAAATCTGCTCAACAGGGGACTGCCAAGAGCTATGTTGACAGAGACAGTCTCATTAGAGTCATAATGGCCTTTTGGGTTTGTTGCTGCCAGGATAGTTGTCCTTGTATTAAGCTTGCAGACCAAGCTAGAGGAAAGTATGATGAACGTTATGGCTGAATTAAATTGGGTAGGAGAATGATTCTAAAGTGTTAAAAAGGATCACATTTTTATGTTATAAAGAGCACATCTTACCTTAAAGATCATAAGAGCTAAACAATATACACAATTATTGTATTAATATATAACATATACAGCATTCCTCAGAGAATAGAAACTATACAGAAAGACAATTATCAGGATGCCAAAAGTAACTAGGCAATATTTCCATGAGTAATCTTTATACACAGCTATCATGGAATCATAGACTAGTTAGGGTTGGAAAAGACCTTAACATCATCTAGTTCCGCGCCCCTTGCCATGGGCAGGGACACCTCACACTAAAACATGTCACCCATGGCTCTGTCCAACCTGGCCTTGAACACCGCCAGGGATGGAGCATTCACAACTTCTCTGGTCCTTAAACAGTAAAATCTAACATAACTTTTCAGAAATAAGTATTACTTTGCTTATTTATACAGTATAGAAACGCATTTTAGTGCTGGAAAGCAACGTTTTACCTTGACGTATATTTTAAGAAAGCAAAATAAAGTGTAATATGATTCCTGTATGTTATGAGTATGAACCAAACCGGATGATGGCAGCCATATCAACTGTTCCTCCAGGGAAACAGCCATTTTCCTCTTAACCATGCTATCCTGGAATGTGTTTCTAGATGTAGGGAGAGGTTATTTTTATTCTAGTAGTCCAAATGTAATCTTTTTGGTTAAGGCAGCAGCAGAGGTATTCTAACTTTGGTTTGCCACTGAGCTATTTCTAGTCAGCTCCTGAGTAACTCCTCCCTCACATCCTATATTCTTCTATAACTGAGAGGAAGGACTACAGATCTTCTATTAAACAGTGGGGAAAAAAATACAACCTTGTCTTATCTCCTATGCATCAAAATAAGACCTAAATCAACAAAGTGCTTAACCTGTCTGTGCAAAGTTACTACTAAAAAAATCCTCAACACATGTAGTCCTTAAAAGTGAGCAACTGAGGCTACATGTGCAAGTTAGCAAACTGTGCTTTGAGGTCTATAAAACCAAGCCAACTGCAACAAAGAACACAGCTAAAATACATCCTTGTCTTATTAAGTAGATAGGACCGTGCTGATTCCAAGTATTTACCCCCAGCTGCATTACTGGGCTAATAATCACTAAGGTGAGTGATACATGACTTGTCTGCTGTCTGTCAAAGAGGGTAAAGAGAACTCCACTGGACATGCTCAGAATAGAGGAAGGACATGATCAGTTACAGAAACCAAGAAGATGTGATTGGAGTAAGAACTGAGTTAAAGGTGACAAGGTGGAATATGGAAAGGATGATGCTGTTTGAGCAGCAATTCCAGAAATACTAGCCAGGAAACGATATGGACCTGGACAAGAGCTGTGTATGATTGACAGAGTAAGATATGAAATCAAAGTGGCAGGGAAGGAAACAGCAGACTTGAACACACACTACTTTGAAAAAGAAAGCAAAGAACTTAAGTAAGCAGGAGTTTATGTCATGCGCAACACAGAAAATTCACCAGCCTGGAAATCTGTTGGTCTACTTTTGTTACCATGCAATATTCTGGATTTTAGAGAAATTAAGTCCTACTTCCCAAGTTGCAATAAGAAATCCACAGAATTCCTCATTTCACATATGATTATTATGAGCACTTTCAGCAAAGGACAACAAAAAGAACACCAAGCCTTCTTAGGAACGTGCCCTGGCCTACAGTGGTAGGTTGAAAACCGAACAGTGAAATGGGTATGTATTCATTCTGATCACTTGCAGTCTCTGGTCTAGTGTTCTTTGAAATGTTGACTCATCTAGTTTAATAATACTGCTAAGAACAAAACTATTAAGTACAGCAAAGAAAACAGATATATTTAATCAGCATGACAAACCTCCCTCCAACTTGTAAATACAAGAGAAACATCTTACATTTTTATCACATGTTAACATCCGACTTACCCTGCCTTTGCAACACTGATGGTTTGTTGCTCCATTGCTTCATGGATACTGGTTCTGTCATGTTCTTTGATACTACTGAACTCATCAATGCAACAAAGGCCTCCATCTGCAAGTACCAGTGCTCCAGCTTCCAAGTTCCACTCCCCAAAGTCCTTCACAGCAGTCACTGTCAGACCTGAAGAATCAATTACTTCAGTCAGTCTTTTCCTTAACATGCAGGAATGCTCTTGATTGAAAGAAAGGGACCCAGGACCCAGTCCACTGGCTTGTGCCATGGACAGATGTCAAAACAGCAGGTTAACTCCACCACACACCTCTGCCATGTAACTCACTTTACATGTATTGGTAAGAAATCCCACTGGTGTCTGGCAGGTTAGCCTGGACCTGTGGAGCAGACTCTGTTAAGCTTCCCATGCTCGATAGTGACTTGTTTTAGGACTTTGCTAATTGAGCAAAAGAGATTAGGGTAAGAAGACTAAACCTACCAGATACAACTGAAAATTAGGGCAAATGACATTTAGCAACTCCTCCCCACCAACTACTAAAACAGACCAAAATTTTGGAGTTGCAAAACAAAGGGGGGGGAATAAAATATTTTGAGTGTCTTTTAACACCTGGCCCCAGGAAGTGCAAGACAAATTCTCACTTTTAATCCCAGTAAATCTACACATGATACACAACTCTGGGAGCATGGCAGCTCAAAAACTTTGCACAACTATGAGAATGGCCACTCATTATTAAGGATGTGCATATCCTTTCAAACTTATTTCCTATTTCCCAGCTTCTTCTCTATCTTTAGCCCTTCTTTTCCACTCCAGTGTTCAGATGAAAATATCCTAGTAGTTGACAAGCTGCAACCAGCCAAAAATCTCCTTGAATGCTACAGTAAAACCTGCCCAAGAATACTCCCCCCACCAGCCAGCTTTGTTCGTTTTGGGGAGGACAGTCTGCAGAAGCCTTTTCATCACTGTGCAGCCCACCAGAGTAGCCACTTGTTCATAAATGGCCAGCAAAAAGTTATTTGAAATACATGCTTCCTGATAACACAACACGTACTTTAGATTGCCGTGAGGAATCTACTCCACTCTATCCAATCTTTCTTGGCTTCCTGGCCTCTGCACTGAACAGCTTGGGCAGTCAGTCATATGACATAATAATAAAAATGAAAAATAACCTCTAGCCTTGTGCCAGATGTGGAGAATGCTGTTAAAAAGCATAGCAAGCAAGAGATCAGGCAAGTGTCTGACAATGACATTTCTCTGTAAATAACCAAAAGCGTCATCACCTTTCCAAACCTTGCATGGGATTTGCTGAAGGCCAAAGGCCCCTGTGCCTCAGCCCTGCGCTCTCACTTGCTGCAGAGCTGGCAGCATTCTGCTCCCACCAGCAGGGCTCTGCCTTCCCACGCAGGTGGAAAGACGGCTCCTACATGCCTTTCTGCAGTGCATATTCCACTACAGTCAAGGGTTCCCTGCAGCCAGTACTGGTGCCTAGCTGTGTGTTTATTTCCACACAGAATCTTCTCTTGTGGTGACGGTACACAACCCACACCCCATGAGTACCGAGCACCTTCTGCTCTTTCGCTACAGAAACATGAGGAATGAAAACCGGTGCTATACAGTGCTGCCACTCCTCCCTATCCCTTATGCATGGCAGCCACAAGATGGCCTCTTCCAAGGGCCTCCTGCTGCCACACAAGATGGCCTCCTCTATGGCCCTCATGCTGCTGCACAGGGTGGTCTTCCCACTGGGCCTCCTGCTGCACAGGGATATGTGTTCTTTCGTGGTTTATTAAGCTATTTAAGCCTTTCTTTGCAAATACAGGAATGCAATGGCTTCTTGACAGCACAGCTGTGTAAAAGACACACTTTGGTCCCTACACAGCCCCTCTGTGGGTGGCCTCTGGAGCAGCAGCAAGGTGCATTCATAGCAGAACTGTGGCCCATGCAGGGAGCCAGGGCACCCCACTAGCAGACCCTTCTTTATTTGGGGTACACCCCAGCGAGCAAAGTGCTGTTACACTGCCTCTGGGTACACTGCCTTCAGACAAGTGCTGGGTGCCATGGTGCTGACCAGGACAGTGCAGCTCCCCTGAGGGGTTGGGCTCTTGTGAGATGAACATCCCTGGAGAGCCCAGAGCCCCTTCAACACTCTGACCCAGCGTGAAACCTGGGCCACCTCTGGGAACAGAAAACGGGAAAAGCGAAAAAAAAAAGGGGGGGGGGCGTGGAATAAAAGTCTTAAAGAAACACCACCCTTCGCGACAACCCCACAGAACACGGCGCAGCTCCCAAAACCGCGGAGAGTCTAAGGCCGCGGCGCCAGTCCCGCCCGCCCCGGCTCCGCCTGCCTGGGCTCGGCCGCCCTGGCACAGCCCCGCCCGCCCGGCGCGGCCGTTGTGAGGCCGTTTCCGCCTCGCGCCGGGCGGGGGCGCCGCCGCGAGGAGGCGCGGTCGGAGCGGGAGCGGCGAGGCCCATCTTGCTGCCGCTCGTCGGCCGCGCTCGGGGAGGAGGGCCCTAGGCCGGCGTGCGGCCAATCCGGGCGGGCGCTGGCGGCGAGCAGGGCAGAATGGGCTGTAGTTTAGTGAAATAGGAAAGCTGCAAACAGTGTGGAGTGCTCCCGGTGTAAATAAAAGGGGGAAAAGAAAAGTTTCTACAAGTCGCAGCTTTGCAGCCTCGCTCGGGCAGCGGCGCGGGGGGTTGTGCGTCGCAAAAGCCCAACACACTGGACTTTATTGTGCTGCGTTAGCACGCTCTTCCTATTGTTTGTGTTTTTTCAAAATATGGCAAAGGTTCAGGTGAACAATGTAGTGGTGTTGGATAATCCATCTCCTTTCTACAATCCTTTCCAATTCGAAATCACATTTGAGTGCATAGAGGACCTGTCTGAAGGTGAGTACGTTTTTCCCGATACGGATTTTGTAACCCCGGGCTCTGCGTTTCAGGGGTTTTAAGGCTTAAACTTTGCTCAGGCCTGCTTCTACAATTTACCAGTTTCTCCTTCGCCGCATCGCCGTGCCGAGGCGAAGGGATGGATGGGCTCGCCCGAGCCGCCGCCGGAAAACCGCTCTCGCCGAGCCCGGCGGGGAAAGTTGGCGGCGTTCGCCCGCCCTAGCCGCCGACTCTGGGCCGTCTCTCCTCTCCCCGCCGCGCCATCGGCGAGCCGAGCCTCAAGTTGCGAGGAACTTGTTTGAGTGGTGGTAGCCATGTTGCCAGCTTTGTGTGTGCGTGGGGGGGGGGGAGCGCGACAGGGAGAGGGTTAACCGGGCTCGGCCGCCGCGCGTCCCCGCACCCGCGGGGAGAGGGGCTGCTCCGCGGCCGGCGCCCCTACGCTACTCAAAGCGCGGAAGACGCTCCGCGGACAGCGGTTCGTTTGACTCACTCTCCATTTTAATACTTAATTATTTTAATTTTTTTTTTACGGCTGTGAGGAGGTGTGGGCGGCCGGGCTCGCCCCCGGGTGCCGGCAGCTGCCTGCCGAGGCGGGGTGCGGCGCGGTAGGTGCGGGGGACCGGTGGCACAGCGCGGTACTGTATGGCACGGCACGTTGGCTGCGGGAGCCCTGCCGGTGGGGGAGGGGGTCGGCCGCCAGCCACTATTTTTGGAAGTCACTCGAAAGTTACTGGCAGCCGCCGGAGGAGGGGGGTGGCCCCGGCGGCGCCGCCCCCCGGCGACCCCCCTCCGGTGTCCGGGGTGCCGGCCCTGCTCCCTGTTGAGGGGCGCGCCACGCCGCCGGCGGGCTTCCTCCCGCCTTCCCCTCAGCCGGGCGGGCCGCGAACCGCCTTCGTCTCGGCGGCGCTCGGCAGCGCCGCCTCCGGGCCGCCGGTAGGCCGCGCCGCGGCTCTCCGCGAGAGTCGCCCCGAGAGGCCGCGCGTCGCCCCTCGGGCGGGAATTTTGAACGCCCCGGCTCGGGGTGAGGAAGGTGGCGGCGGCGGCCCGGAAGGGCAAGTGGGGAGCTCCTGGTAGCCGAGGCCGCACTGCTGGGGCTGCTTGCGAGCGGAAGAGGGAAGCTGCCTGGTCCCCGGCGGAGACCAGCGCCGCCTGCTCGCCGGGCAGCCCCAGCGGCCTGAGGGGCGAGGGGAGGCAAACAGAAAACCGGAGTTGGCGAGTGGTAACACCTGGCAGGCTGTCTGGCGTTGTGGTTAAACTTGCTTCACCCTGCCTGTCTCTGTAGCAGTTTACAGTTGTGGGTGCCGGCGGCCTGTGACAGCGCGCTCGGTGGAACGTCTTGGCTTGCTCTATTCCATCGCCCTTGGGAGGGACAGTAGCGCTGGCGGGAACTTCATAGGAAGTCCCGTCTGAGCCTGGGATTTCCTCTAGGCTTCTGCCGCTAGTCTCATGCCCCTTTACAACCGGCCGAGACGTTAGTCGGAGCTATCTGTACCAGGATGTGCTTCGTGCCCATCTCCAGGTAGCTGACTGGATCTCTAGTCAGTCTGGACTCATCTGGGATACCGTATCAGACCCCTCGATGGCAACCGCTGTGCGAGGCGACAGAGCCTGTCACATAGGCTCCGCACAAGGCGTTATGCCTTTCTTTCTAGTTGTGCACACCTGTATGTGCCGTGCCTCTCACTCTCTGGATTTATGTTAGGGTTAATCTGGGACAGTCGGGATGACAAGAATTCTAGATGGTCTAATGCAAAATTTTCAGTTTCCTGCCCCCACCTAAAAGCAGGTTAGACTACAGGATAAATTCAGGACGAGCACTGCTATCTTTCACATTTAAAAATAAGGTTAAACATTGCCTGTGTATACTCCATGAAAAAATTGCTGTCATTGCCTTAGCCTTCATTTGTTTACTGTGCTGTTTTCTTTTCAGCCAGTCCTGTACACCACTGACCCCAAATTACTGAACTCCAGCCATATTGTGTTTTTTTTTTTTTTAAAGTTGTTGTTCAGTATCAAGGTACTTAAACAACATTAAATGTATGATTTAAAACTTATTTTTAGAAAGTCCATTTTTAGTACTAAATACTACTGGTTTATAATGAACTTTACACTGTTCTAGATTAATGGCACAGGATGGTGTGATAATCTTAAACAGTCTTTCTTCTTGTAAGTACTAACTTACTCGAAGATGCTGACAAAAGAGGTCCTTAATTGTCCTGGGGGAGTGGCCTGCAGTACTTGCAGTAGCTAGTACTGCATGCTTAAAAGGTAAATAAAACCTCCAATACAGTACCTGACCAATTTCACTGTGTTGTATAAAGGAGTAAGATTTCTTCCCAAGCCCTGTTAATTACATTCCTTAAACCCCCAAACCTGCATTGATGATAAACATGATAAGCAAGAAGAATTCAAGTTCTGTTAAAGCGCATTTTTTTTTTCTATGCTTAAGTTCCATTTCTGTGTCAAGAAACCATAATGCAGACTTTTGGATTTTGCAGAGCATAGTAATAAAGTAGATGTAATAAGGTCCAGGTTTGTGCTTTTGCATAGACAATTGAGGCATTGTTCATAAAGGGGGGGGGGGGAATATACTATGTAAGTTATTTAAGACACAGTTTTTAAACAGCAATTAAAAAAGAAAGTTATAGTTTTCTGTAATGGTGATCTTCCCTTCCTCTGGTTTAAAAAAACCCAAAACACAAAAATCTGTATTTAAGATTAGATTTCTTTGTGTAGTTATACATGTGATTTTTAATCAAAAAGTGAAAGGGAAAAGCTGGCCCAGCTTTTGTAGTTTCAGCATTTGTAGTTTCAGCTTTCAAACACCTGTGGTGGAGAGGGTGAGTTACAAAAAAACCTCTGAATTATAAGAAATGTTTGATTTTGATGCATTATTTTAAGAAGCAAAATGCTACTTTTTTTTCTTTCCTGTAGATCTATTTCAGGATGTGAATAAAATCCAAGCACCAATATCTTTGAGAATATGATCTAATCATGCTATCACAATTTTACGTACTTCTCAGGTTATGCAGGTTACATATGAAGGAATGGAGGCACACACTTAGTATGCCTGGTGCTTGCACAGTGAGTTTTCTTATTCTGTTTACTACCTTAAGCTGTGAGGTGTATACATGGAAGGTGAGAATTTCTTTTGGGGAGGTGAGTTGGTATTCAAGGTGTGCAGTGTGTTACAGGCGTATAGAGGCATCATTGCTGTATTGCAGCCATTCTGTCAGACTTTGAGAAGATGCTGAACACAGCTTCCAACAAGTAAATGGGCCCTGTCCTCTTGAAAATTAACCTATGAAAATGGAGGGATTCCTGCAGTACTGCCTGCCTGCTGAGAGATGGTGGGATGGTCCATGAGGAATGGGGCAGGCACTGATAAATTTCCCCAGTGAAGACAGGTCCTTGTTATGTTAGGCCTATTGTCAAAGAATTGATTTTAGGTTATGCAACACTGTAGACAGGGAAGAATGGAGTACCCTTGACTGTAATGATAAATAATGGTAGCTTTTGGTTTTGTTTGTTTTGTTCTAGATTTGGAATGGAAAATAATTTATGTGGGTTCAGCTGAAAGTGAAGAGTATGACCAGGTGTTAGACTCTGTTTTAGTAGGACCTGTTCCTGCAGGCAGACACATGTTTGTATTTCAGGTAAGTTTAGTTTAACTCTTTCCTAAAATGGTTGTGTTAATTTGTTTAAAGATGACTATCAAACTAAGAGGCACTTGAAAAATAAGGGTAAGCTAGAAGAGTATTTCAGTCAGCTCTTCAGGTATGATACATGTTCCTTTAAGATCTGTTCATGAGCTGCTATTTCTTGCTCCTGGTATTTCCATGGTAATACTTTCACTTGTGGCATCAATAATTGGAGACAGTGGTATAAGTAGTGTTCCTGTAGCTACTGGTAACTTTGGCCAGTCTGGTTTATAAATGTATTCTAGATCAGTCTGTAATCAAGAGTACTTGTTAGCCTGTTTTACACCAGCACCATCAGGCTTAACTCTACTGCAGCTGGTGGCAGTTTTGAGACAACGAGGAGCACTATGTTAAGGTAGACAACACCTTTAGAAGATCAGGCCAACAAACTAATTTTAAAACTCAACTAGAACAGTAAAGAGTTCATTCCTGTTTGGTGGAGTAAATGTTCAACCATTATATTTGGCTAAAAGTGCTAAATTACATAAAAATACAGCAATTTGTAAGATAAAACAGAATGCCAACAGTAGGTAGCAGGCATTTGGGATACAAGTGTGTAGATCAAGACTGTCCAACAAACTGGAGCATATGACAGTCCTGTGAAATACTGCTGTTAAAGCTAAAAATTACTAAGAAGAAATAATGAAGGGAAGGAGGAAGGAGAACAGGAAAAGAGCAGTACTAAGGTGGCTTACTGGCCTATTCTGGTTTCCATTTTAAGTCGGGGTGGGGGGGGGGGGGGGAAGAACTGAAATAGACCTGCCTAAATTCTAAAGAAGTGGGTCTTTTGTTGTTTGTTTGGTTTTTTGTTTTTTTTTTAACCAAAATTATGATCTAGCTCACTTTTTTTCTCTATTTATCAAATACTAGTATTGTAAACTGAGAGCAAAATCTATCAGCAGAAAAATAAGATTGAAACTTGAGTATGATCTATTGTATAAGAACCACTCGACTAACTAAATGCTATAAATTCACTTGACTATCTAATGGTAAATGCATGAAGGAAGTATGAGCATTAAAAATTGCTAATGAATACACTTCCGTATTTCTCAGTTACTGTAACAGTTTTAAAACAGTATCAGTGTTTTTTGAGCCATCTTGATTAATCCTGTAAATTCAAGGAAATGGTTTGTTGTTTTTTTTTTTCCTTAGAGGACAGGCTAAAGGAACAGGATTAGGCTAGAGGTTACATTTATTAACCACATGCGCGCAAATTGGTCTTGAAACACTTCTGTTTGGGCTTGGCACTGGGCCAAATTTTTCTACACTGCAAGTGAAGGAGATGTGTAACAAATGCATCATTTATTAACAGTTCTTCCATTATCAAGCTGCTAAATCTTATGGCATTAATTGGTTGGAAATAGGTGATCCTCTGTTGCCCTCAGAAGGGCTATCTTGTAGCACTATATCCAGAAAAATCATCTGGTGTTAACATTTCTAATTTAAAAGATGCACTGTTCTCAAAGTTACGAGGACTCATTGATGGTGATGGGAAGGAGCAGGAGGCAGGTGCCTAAAAAGGCATGTAGGATAGATTTATCAATTGTATCCCTGTTATAGATGACAGTACAGCTAAATTGAGAGTCGACATGAGGACTTTTTGCTTAGATTGGAGTAAGTCCTGTAAGAGTCAGTACTCCTGTGTTATATTCATAAAGTATCCCTTTTATTTCTTATGGAAGTACTGTTGGTCGAAGTATCCTAGACTTCAAGAGCAGTGGATTTTAGGTGAGGGTAGGACTCTGCTAATATATACACAGGAGACCACCAAGACAGGGATGCAATAAGTCTTTGCTGATGACTGAAGCTGTTGTATTCACCAAACTGAAGCAGCCTGGGAGATGGAGAGAGCTAGCAAGGGAAGGCAGAATGGGGCAAAGCACAGAACTGCAGGAGGCATATAATATAAAGAGATTGTGCTCACTAGGGATAGCACAAGAAAAGGACCCTTGCAGAGGTGTATAAAATTTCCAGCTAATATGTACACGGTATATTTTTCTAAATAGGAAAATGGCTGAAATGGCAAGTAAAATGGAGTTTCACACAGATAAAATCCCAGGGATAATAAAACTATCTCTTTTGAAAAGAAGCTGTGTATCAGGTTGGGAAGTCAGCCTTACATACAGAAAAGATGGAAAATTATTGTGTTTTCAGACTTAAAACAATCATATTTTTAAATATTAAAAAAAAGGTTCAATTAAAGGCCCAGAGCTTGGCCTTCCTGTTTCTAAATACCAAGATATATCAGTAGTGAAACCTCATTCTTTCTCTTTGTGCACTTGAGGATTTTCACAGAAACTTCTCTTTGAGAATATAAACATATAAGTAACTTACTATCTTTAAGTGGGGATATGATGTTAGCTACCTACACTGCAGTAACAGGTATGTGAATAATTGTATTGTGGAAAAGCAAGAGAATTCAAGATGAATATATTGAGTGATTTCATAAAATTCCTAAGTAATTTCTAGAATAAGAATGACATTAAGACAGGGTTTTTATGCAAAAGTTAATCTATTGTCTTTTTGCCTACCAAGAAGTTTGCAGCTGCTGACTTACCGCTTTATCATATCAATGTCATATTATTTTTCTCCCACCTGTGTATGATCATTTGTTCCCTATTCAATTAAGAAGTTTGATGTCGAAGGCAGGAAGTTCAAAATTTGAGAAAACAGTTTCAAACAGTGTTCAGTGTCTTTTCCACTCAGCAAAACAATACTTGGTAGTTAAGCAGAATTAAAACAGAGTATTTATTTCCTTGGGTTCACTACTGTATCATAGAATTGATGCCAGTAGGAACCTGGAAGAACTACAGTTGCTGTTAGGGAGTGAGTTGAGTTCCAGGGGGGGTTAAATGGAACAGTATCCTCTTGCAATATATTAGTCTGTAACTGCCCACTGTGGAATTTAAGGTAATCAAATGGTCCCGGGCACTGTTAGAACAAGACTACTTAACTAGAATAGTGATTTAATGTGGATTGGCAGTTCTTGTGATTTCTTCAAGCTTCTATATTTGCCTTGTTCCTTGGTCATCTTTTCTACTCCCCTATGTGAGTGGTAAAGCTACTTGGTCACTTTCTTTCCCTTTGGGGTGGAGGAAGTTGTGTTCTACCTGATTCCCTGGTTGCTTCTTCCACTAGTCTAAGAGGTCCGAGTCATCTAATTCTGCAAAGTGCCTACAGCTTCTTATCAAAAGCTAGATTGGTTTGGAGGCTTAGAATTGAAGTAGTAACGAGCAGAAGGCAATGCTGCATGACCACTAGCTTCCCAGTTTCACAGTGCTGGAGCATATAAAGACTACAGAAAACTATGGATGAGAGGGGCAGCAGGAATCAATCCTATTTGTCCTCTCTCCTTAGGTAAGATTTGTTACACTCAAACCACTCTAACATACATTGTTAATACCAGCTTGTACTTGCAACACAGGTGTTTTGTTGGTTTCATAGCTTCATGTAAAATTGTAAACATGAAGCTCTTTCATTTGTGCTTAGATTGCTGCTACTTTAAATCCTGTAGGAGAATGAGGCATCACATTTTATCAAAAATGTGTAGTTGGAAGGATTTTAAGGGACTGTGAGCCATGTTTACAAGGCAATTTTTATTATTAGTAACTGCCGAGCCATGGGTTAAGTAACTGAGGAAGATTATAAAAGTTGTCTATTGATTAGTATTGCATCTTGGCTGAAAATGTCAGATATCTCTGTGATGATGCATTTAACTGCATATATTTTAACAAATGTAGGCAAGTGGAAGGAGGTGAGAGAGTAGTTTATTCCTTTCCTAGAACTCTCTGAGAAAGCTCAAGCCTCATCATAGCCTGCTCCTGCTTTTCTTACTGAAGTATAAGTTACGTTCTATATTTTGAAGGCTTTAGTCTTTTTAAAAACACATGCAGCAGACATATTCAACCAAAAAAAATAATAATCTTACTTTACTAAATTACAAGACAGGCTGGAGAACAGTGAGTTAATACACTTGCTCAAACAACAGTTCAACTGATGATGTATTTAAAAGCAGATTTGTATCAAAACTGTAATCATGTATGAGAAATGTCAGCACACTTACTGTATTCCAAGCAATTCTGTCTCTAGGGTATGGTGTCCTAAATTCAGGGTTAATGTTGTGAGAGCAGGTATATTGTCTGGTTAACTTGAAGAATAATTTTGAATACAGTCCTTACTCAACTGTTAAGACAAATACTTAAGATTCACCTGCTAGATAGGTATGTGGTATCAATTTTATTTTAATCCATCTTCCCCTTTCACATCCAGGCGGATGCACCTAACCCAGGGCTTATTCCAGATGCAGATGCAGTAGGTGTAACAGTTGTGCTAATTACATGCACCTATCGAGGTCAAGAATTTATTAGAGTTGGCTACTATGTAAACAATGAATATACTGAAACAGAACTGAGAGAGAACCCACCAGTGAAGCCAGACTTTTCTAAGGTAAGACATGTTTTGTTCTAGTAATACAAAGGTATGCTTACAGAAAGAGGTTTTTAAGAAATGAAGCCAAATCCCAAGTGATCCCATAAAGTGCATGAAATGAGGCATCAAATAATGGAAAAGGCTGGGGGAACAAGTTACAGGTGACATGCAGAACATCTTGAAACCTACAACAGCTGCCACTGTCTTGAAGCCTTGGCTGGACTTGTTAGTTTGCATAAGTGATTGGGAAGTATTTACTGAGAGTGTGCTTCCTTGGAGAACAAAATCGGCATTACTACCAAAGCAAACTTTTCCTATGATCAATCTTAACTTTCATAATGGTGGTAAGGTACCATCCTCCAGTTAGCTATGTATTATCTTGAAAATGGTGAAAGATTAAGAGAAAGTGTTTTCCTTTTTGCTGCATAAATACAACATCTTTTCAAAGGAGAAGGAAGGCCAGTCATGATAATAAAATGTGACTAATGTCTAAGCATGTCCACTGCCACAGTATATATATCTTCTAAATCTAGGTAATGCTTCTACTTTTAAAACTTTAGTAGACAAATTAAAATTCACTTAGTTAATATAAAGCATGGTATGATAATCTCATATAAGGAGGGGTTGTTGATCCTAAATGAAGACTGCCTGTTGGTGGAATTGGTACAATTATTGCAAGCACCATAAAGTCAATGTGAAATTTTGTGAAGTACTGTGGTTGTAAAATCTTTGTGGGGGTAACTTGCTTTACTAAAAGCTGGCTAAAATAACAAACAGTTGCACTTTACTTGCAGAGCTGTCATACAGCCTTGAACTCACTGAACAGTTAAAATATCTTCTCAAGAAAGCAGTTACTTTTCTGAGTAGGATGTTAGAGTAAATGAACAAGTGGTGTGTTTCTGACCCAATGATAGTAGCTGTAGATTCAGGTTTACGTGAATTACCTTTTCTTTTTACACATACAAGGCTATGGAGAGAGTAAAAGGGAAAAAATCTGTGTACATGTGAACTTCACTTTAAGATGTACACATTATGTAATCCGTATATTTTCTTCTCTCCCAGCTTCAAAGGAATATTTTGGCATCTAATCCCAGAGTCACAAGATTCCACATTAATTGGGAAGACAACTCTGAAAAACTGGAAGATGCAGAGAGCAGTAACCCAAATCTACAGTCACTGCTTTCTACAGATGCATTACCTTCAGCATCAAAGGGGTGGTCAACATCAGAAAATTCATTAAATGTTATGTTAGAATCTCATATGGACTGCATGTGACTAACCACCATCATTTTGGTACTGTACATGTGTTAAACTGTAAAAACAACCAGAACTATTTCCCTCAAATTCCATAAGTACATAGTTGACATGCAATGTGAAGAACTTGTTTTAAAACATCCTGTAGAAAGTTTATATTAAAAAAAAAAAACAAACAATATTTGAACAAATTGTGGAATATAAATACAACTATTTTTAAGTAATTGCCTTTTTTCTCTAATGTGTTATTCTATGTGGTCTAAACCAAACCTGATTAAAGTATACATATTGTCCCCCCTCCCCCTTTACTTTGTAAGCACTGTTAAAGGCTAAAAAAACCCTGAAAGTTAAAGCATTCAGGCAAAATGAAGGAATAATGCTATGTCCTCAGCTCTGATACACAGTTTGCCAAATATAAAGTGCTGTTTAATAGCAGCTTAAGAACAAAACTGTCATTAGATGGAGTTCAAAGAAAAAAGTATCTCATTAAAAAAAATCCAAAAATGTCCTTTTGCTGTGAAAGCAGACACACAGTGTAATTTTAGGTGCAAGCTTCTTCTCCTTTCAAGGCACATACTTGTTACTTAAAGCATGCAAGTTGAGATTTACCATCTGCTATCTTGGATATATCCTGCTGCTGCTTAGTCAAACTGTGGTTCATTAAGGACAGTGTTTCACGTGGATTTGGGGAAGTATCTCAGGAAAGAACCCTTTTCAGCCACCCTAATACCATACACCATTTGGTGAAAGGGTTCAAGCAATTACTGGAAAATTGAAGTAGCATAAAGGAGTAGCACAAATGAAAAAAAAAAAAGTAAGATTGTGTGTGACTGCAGATTGGTAAATTTATTTTCAGGTGTGCTTTATTCCTGTAGTTTTTTTTTCAGTAATAAGGAAGTTAGATGCTTGCTTTCTGTTTTTTTTTGAAACATCTGAAATTTAATGCTTTTCTGTTTTTTTCTCTACCCTCTAAGGCAATCCTTTGCATTGGTAAAAATCAAAATGCAAACTCTGTTGTGGCAGGTATGACACACTCTAGATTACGTTCCCTGCCCTGAAGTTCTTGCAGAGACACCCTAGTACCTGAGGCATCCTTGAAGATAAAATGAGCTAAGCAGTAAATTGTAAAGACTTCAGACATAATTATGACACTAAGAATTTATTCATTCCAGTCCTCCTTAGCCTCATGCATTTACTGTGACTGTGCATTTAAAATTGTGATCTGTCATGTCAGATACAGGAATATAGTTCTGCTAGTTACTAGTAACCACCCAAACTGTGAACCCTTGGAGGTTCCAGACCCTTAAAAAAATGAGGGAGATGTCATATGACTAACAGTATAGCTGTGAACAGAGCCCTTTCTGCCTTCTGTAATAGGAATGAAGACATTCCAAGCAGTTAGCACTTCTGTCTTTCCATGTCATTAGTGAAATTGTCTTCATTTCTAACATGTATATTTTTTAAATTGGAAAGGAATGACCTGATCTGAATATACATGTACTTGCACATGTTTTGTTTCTTCTTTGGAAACCCAGTAGTACCTATGGTAGCTGACTGAATGAAACCCATTAATATTTGGAACTTTAGTTCTAATGTGTGCTCTTACAAATCTCTCTAATTGTTTAAAGTGATGATTAGCAATTCAGAAATATTAACACTCCAATATCTGTATAACAACACAACTGGTCCAGCAAAACAGCAGTTGCTTCACTTGAGGGTTAAAATTATGTGGACTTTTAAGAAAGATCTTTTGATTTTCAGTTATATTGCAACTTTAAGGTGTAAAGTGACATTTTTGAGATTTTTCATGCACTTTATTGTTCTACTTGTAAATCTAAGATATCTCTTAAATGTAAGCATGTAAATAACTTGGTTATCTGCCTAAAGTTTGGCAGGCTAATGAAGTGTGCCTTGAGCTAAGGCTATTGTAGTAGTATTTCAAACCCTTGCACCTATTGAAGATTCAAATGAAAACATGAAGCAAGTGCAAGCTGTAACCAGAATTCATGCATGAAGGTTTCTTAAAAGCATATGCCACAAAGTGATGAAAGTAAACTGCTTCCATTACTGCTATTACTGCTATTGTAGAATCAACTACAAAATACAGTCGGCAAAACTGTCACCCAGCAAACCAATTAATCAGAAAGTGAAGATCTGTTCTTCTGTTTAAAAGGAAAAAGAATCACCTGTGCATGAGGCTGCAGTAGCATTCGGCACCACATCACCTGTTAACGCTAACACATCCTAGATACAGTTGGCCCACTAATTACAGGAAAGAGAATCACCCTGCTGTGCTTGGTGAAACTGGAGGACACCTGTACCTCAGGAGAGCACCTCATGATCTTTGCAACAGAAATGGTCTGTCTTTGCTTTTTGAAAGAGTGAATGCCTCTCAGTCTTATACGCGTACGTACAGATCTTAGCAGGCCCTACACAGTGTCTTCTGAATATTGCATTTCCTGGCAAAATCACATTCCAAGACATGGAATTAGAGAAATCAAATTCTAGTACTCCAGAGGCTTCAGGTCTGATCAGCAGGCAACATCACAGCACAGACTTAGTGGTATTAAAAGATACAGTGCATATAAGGCATCTCTGTAGAGACTTGTCCCTGATGTCTTGAAAGTTTTGAAACGGGAGACTGTACATATGACATAGTGGCAGCTGGGCACAGTATTACAGTTTCAAAGATGAGTTCCCCTTCCCACGAACCTTTACTTGCAGAGACCACCGAGACACAGGGGAGTGCTACAACTCCTACTGGCAGGACTGATGATGCATCTCACTGTATTTTTACATCAGATGATAGACTCAGTTCCAGGAGAAGATTGTCATAACACTTTTCAGGTTATTGTATAAAGAAGTGGACAGATTGGTCAAGGTAACATTTATGGATGAAAAACACAGGTGGGATTTTGTGTATCTAGCTTGAAAACAAATTTGTCCCTTCTGCAGTCATTGTGATTTGTTCATGCGTCACCTTTGATTTGAATTACTATGAGTTTGAAGGAACTAAAAAGGCTGCAGCGCCATCGTAATGGAGGCTGGCGAAATTTAACCTTTTCAGTGGCTCTACAAAAATGCACTGAACAAGCCAATCTTTGCCACCAGTCTTCAAGGCTGCAGCAACTCAACTTTTCCACAATAACCACCGTATATGAGTTTCTAGCTCAGCAGGCAATGTGTATTCCTGAGATCTGAGTGACAAAGTCACAAAGAAATCTGATGATCTGACAGTGTTATTTTCTTTGTAGGGACTCAACTTCTGATTTTCTGGAAGTCGGCTCAGGTTGGAGGCTGGCCACTTGCAGCTAGAAAAAGAGTGGCCACTGCCATCTGAAAATGATCTGCAAGCCTGCAGATTCTCTCATTTTTGTGAGAGCCACAGAATATTGGTCCAGAGATGATGGGTTAATTGTGGCTGTTGTTGCTAGCTGGGGAGCTCTACTTGGTGTCAACAGGGAAGATGCAACAAAACTGACAACTGTATGTAAGGGCTAGCAGTGTATGTGGGAGTCTTCATACTAGGCCATCCCATTGTATTTATGTTTCCAGTTAAAGTTCTGCTTCTTAAGAGCTGGTTTTGCAGTGTGTGATAGTACAGCTGAAGTCGCTAGGGAGGCTTTGTTAAAGGCAAACCCCAGGTTTCTATCTGGAATTTCAAAAGGAAAGAGGCCCTCAGGAGGGGATGGAGTGAGGATACACCTCAACATTTCCAACTTCTGTTTATGCTAATTTGGAGGCATGGCTGCGTACTCATTGTCTGTGGCTTGAGGGATGTGACTGGCTTTCCTGAAGACAGAAAATCGGAGGAAGGAGGTGTGTTTGCTGCAGAAGGGCTATACCAGATATAAGAGATGACAGCTATGTGTTAGCAGCACTATGAACTGGCTGAAATGTCAGGAACGTTTTTAACACCCCTGGACCATGAGATGAAGAGGCCTAGTTTTCAGCATAAGGGGGTCCTCCTTTTTGTCCTATCTCACTAGAAAGGTTTGGCAGACCTGCACTGATATGACCTGGGAAGAAGCAGGGGCTTTATGATATGGTAAAAGGAATTCTGAAGACATTTGGTATCTATCCAGAAATCAACTGCTTGAAATGCCTGCCATTTCAGCAGCAGGATAAAAAAGTCTGATGAAGGCCTGCCTGGATGTATTATGTCACATGTGCGCAAGACCTGAGACCTCCAATCAACATTGCAAAGATGATGCTCCTGCAGAATTCCTTGTCCATCCTAACTACAGGTCTTCAAATATAGATGAAAGAACAGAGCAATATTTCTAAAGATAGATACCTACTTGACTATATAATCTGTTGCATGCAGGTAGTTATGGTAAGCTACCTCTCAGGACAAAGCCATCTTGGAGCAGCATTACTGAGAGGAAATTAAGGGAGAACTCAAGTATCTACAAGAGACAAGACATTGTTACAGATGTATCTCTGAAGAGGTTTGATCACAGCTTCAAAATTCATTCCTTTAAGGAGTCTAACACAGTTTCTACAGAGTTAAGGCATCTTCAACTTGAGGCCCAACTGTTTAAGGAACAGCCAACGAAGTCATGCTCTCAGAAGACTATTTTCAAGGTACATGCTGATAGCAAATACTTCATATATAATTATGATTGTTTAGGGAAAAAAGTAAGAATGTGGTAGAAGTGAAGATGCAAGAAGAATGGCCTAAAGGCTGTATCTCTACTAATAATTTTATCAGGGCAAGAGTATGGATCCACAGTGGAAAACTGTTCCCTGGCATCGCCTTGGCCTGTATGGACTAGGGAATGCCCAGGGACAGTTTGAGGAACCTACAAACATAGAAAAAGGTCTCTAGTTTCAGTGTCTTGAGTACCTCAGGATACTGACACCATGTACTCTATTGATATTCACGGCTGGATGGCTCACATCAGCCACTTTGGTTTCTAATGGATCAGAAGAGAGGTAACTGTTAGCACCTGAAGCCTGCTTAGCAGGGAAAGGCTTATTGTGAAAAATGTCCCTTTCCCCTTGAGCTAGTTGCCTTCAATGAAACAAGAAAAAAAAACATAGTAGCAAAGTGCTGTTGGCATGATACGACAACCTTACACATTGCAAAATGTCAGCAAAAGGCAGTACCCTCAAGACTCTGTAATAGAGGCTCTCTATGGAGGGGCCAGAAGGCTGCATTTCATACACTTCAGGAAGGCATATTGTACAGAACTGGAGAGCTGGAGAAACAGCTGATCATCTCCCAGATTTTTAGACAAGCTGTTGTAAATGCAGTTCAGAAAATTCTTTAAGCAGCATTAAGCATCCATCTGTGGAGGGACACAGCACCAAGCACAACTTTGCAGAAATGTGAACAGCCAAACGTGCACCAGCAAGCAGCAGAATGACTCTGGCCCAGGTGTCCACAAGTGTCGGCAGCACGCATGTGTTGGTTCCCATCCTTACGGAGTCAAACACACCACTCAACTGATCACTGCAGATCTCAAGCTCTGGGGTGGATTAAATACTTTCTTACTAGTGATTACCTCATCCAAATATGCACAAGCAGCACTATAGCTCTGGGGACTGCAGAACACTTAAGAACAAGTTAAATTCACGAGGAAGGTGGGAATCCACAGAAAGATTTTGTTAAACCTCACTAAGTCTCTACCTTTCTGGAAAACTCTTACCAACTTCTATATAGTCAATGTACTCAAATGACTCCCTGTGATTCTCAGTTGAGAGACTAGTGGGGGAGAGTGAACCAGGCCTTTAAAATAACTGAACACTGTAGACAGAACCAGACAACGGGACAGATGGTTCCCCCATCTTCTATTTACAAAACAGTCCTACAGTGGTCAAATAAGTTGTTGAATGTGGGCTGCCAACTTTCATTAAAGAGATGTGGGAGGAACAAATCATCATAGAAGTCCTAAACTTGCAGAGAACTCCTAACAGAAAATTTCTACTGTTTGCAAGAAAGGCAGCCTAATAAAATAAGGAAATTCAGGAACGCTATCCAGGGAGTGGAGGTAAAGTTCTGTTTTTCCAAACCAGAGAACAGATTATTGGTCCTTTGTAAGGTTATCTGCAGCAAGCAGGCAGCTAGAAATTAATGCTTTAGTCCAGCAGTTCTAATGGAAAAGTTCCATGGAAAGACTCCCTGAAGTTAAATTAGGGTTAATAAGATTTCTTGCTAGAGACTCAAGTTTCACTTGTGATAAGGGTCCTAAAGAATTTTAAGGCAGAAATTTGATGCACCTGCTGTCAGATCTGGAGGGAAGGGAGAAGAGAGGGAAGCAAAAGATCTTTTAAATGTAAGGAATATTTAAGTGAAATGTAGATGATCTGAAGACCCAGTAAGCTTGTGAACTGCAGTACTGGTTTTCAGGAAGGGAAATGTCTTTGAATATGGCTATCACAGCTGAGCTGGAAACCACATCACATGGAAAATGAAGCACAGGAGGGAGATGAAGTGAAGGAGACAACAGCAATATCAGAGGCCAAGAGCAGCTGACACAGGGAGGTTACTACTGGCAAAAGTGGGCAAAGTTACATTGAAATGCATGGCAGAATTTCACTCCAGGTAACTGTCTGTCCCCTAGCAAAACTTAAATAATCCAGTTCTTATAAAGAACAAAAAGGTTATGTTGAGCCAAAATGTTCTCTTTGGCTTCCCTCCAGACCTATTTGTCAACAGTTTGAATGGAAAATCAAACTTGTTTTTTAACAAGCTACCTGCACATAAGGGTACATGTTCAACATCACGTTCCAATTCTGCAGCTACAAAAGACCCAGTTACACACATGTACACATAGCTACAGAACTGGGAAGGATTTATCCTCTGCTGTTCCCACGTACAAATAATGCTGCTTCCCAGACATAAAATGAAAAGCAGCACTCGCTATGCGAGAAACATTCAAGGTACACATGCTAGCTGAGACACTGGGGTCTGTCCCTAATTAGTTTGTGATTTTGAATGTACTAGTAATATAGTCATTTGCACAAATAAAGTCATTTGCAGGTGTAGTCTGGGGACAGCCTGCACATTGTCCCCAGAAGAGTTTGTAAAGATACCTGGTATTCAGAGCCAGCTGGGCCATGCCTACATTAAACAAACAAACAGAAAGCTTGCTCTCTGAAACCATCCTGAAACCACCTTTATAAGCCAGAAATAATTCCTCAGCATGGGAGTGAATTTCCAGAAAGTGAGCAGAAATCAAACTGGCACCTGACCAGAACATGTAACAGAAGAAAGCAAAGTATCTGTTCAGGAGAAACCAAATGATGCTAGCCCATCACAGTATGAGCTCTGGAAAGATGTCGTATTTGTCATAACTGTGAAGAACACTAAAAATACAAGTCCAGATCATCCTCTGCTGGCAAAGCAGCGTGAGGTACCTCTGGATGAGGCTTTCAAGGTTCCCTATTAGAAGCTCATCACACTGCTCTACTGATACAGAAGAAGGGGCAGGACTGTCCTTCTGCATAGAATCCTATCAGGCTTCATATGCCTCCACACCAATTTGTTGCTTCAGCAGTGTTCATACAACCTGAGCACATATGTTCATATATTTAGAAGGCCTCTGTATAAACATACTCGTGTGAAAAAAATGCTCCAGCTGAAGAGGCACATACCTGCACTTGTAGATCCAATTCCTGCAGTAAGCACAGAGCGTGGTGTGATCTTTACTGCATACTTGAGAAACTGAGATTTCCCTGTACCTGGGTCTCCAACCAACAGAAGATGCGATTCACCTTGGGGGAAAATGTTGATGTAGGAGTAGACAGTTCATATACAGAGAAAGATATACACAGAATGCTCAGAATCAAATAATACTTTTCATTGTTCACCTAACGTTTAGCACTACATATGCATTACAATATACATATTATAATAATCACATATTTTATATATATAATATCCTGTTTAAGACTGCACTATTTATTTGGTGTGATAAATATATTGTTTAATAAAAGGATGTAGTCATATTGCTGCATCCAAACCAAATATTTACAATGAAATATTTTAAAAGTAGCAGCAGGAATTTGATGTACATCTGTAATGTCAGTTCTTACATGTTAGAGTACGTATTTCTCAGGCTCAACTTACTCTTCAACATGAAACAAAAGGATACCAGGTTTTAGTTATCGTTCCACTATTCAGTTACTTGAATTATTGCAAAAAGGACTAATAAAACCAGCAGGCTGTTTTTCTTAACTAATTCTGTTACACTGCCAGTGGTTACACAACTCAGTAATTTCAAAACAACGAAATTACAGAAGTGAATAATTTGGCTACAACAAACTCACTGAAGTGCTCTAAAATGATTTCACTGTCTTCCACAAAATATTAATACAACTTCAATTCAGACATAAAGTCTATAACTTTACTTAGCTGCTGGAGCATTCAGAAAATCCTGTATCTGTATATACTGACATACTGTTTTAGAATCATTATGACCTACATTGATTACAACCTGCATACCACCTGGCACATGGCATATTTGCGATCTAATAACAACAGAAGGAGAATCAGCAGGCAGATAACTTAGAATAACAGAGCTAAGTGAGATGTGCTGACAATCACACATGGAAAAGTCTGGCATTAGGAAGTAAAATGAATCCTTTAATTTTTCCTTTCAATATAGTATAGTGAGCCACATTAAGGAAACATTAATATTCTATCCTTTGGTGCCAAATACTGCTGGGAATATTCTACTAGAAATCATTTCAAAACGTTACTTATACAATAAAAAGTGAGTTTCTGTTTTATCTAAAACAACTGCCTTTAATATTCTACTTAATGGAACCCTGAATGCCTACTTTTACTTGGGAAAAATTAAAAAGAGGAAGTCTAGACACCCACTTGATTTCTCTGAAATTCTGGAAGAATACTGAGCATTAATCAAAAATTGCTCTCACTCAAGTAAACGGGATGATCATGCTCCAAACCCCACTGGTTTGATTTTGGAGGGGGGAGGCATGTGAGAGAAGGCAGTGATGGAAACAACTGTTAGAAAAGATATGATACTATTGGAAACAATACTAACCTCTGATTCGAGTTCCAGTAGCATCGGCCCTCTGCACACCACCAGCAAGCACCATGGCTACAGCCAACTTCACCAGGTACAATCCAAAAACTTGAGGACACAAGCTAGCCAAAATTTCATTTCTCCCTAAAATGGAACAAAAAATGGCACTCAGCACTGCCCCACGAGTAAAATTCGGTTTCTCCTATGTACACTATCAAATAACTGCCCTATGTCCACAGTTCTGTGTACACTCAGAAATAATTTGGGTCTGCTTCCTGAACAAGAGCAACAGGGCAGGGAGGAGATTTTGGGGTTTTGGTTTTTTTTTTGGAAACTGGACCCAAAGCAGTTGTTTGATCCAAACTTCCTTCATTATATCAGAGCTAAGTCTTCCACAGTCACAAGCAGCAAAGCCAATCCTATCACAGTTTAAGGAATCTATGGTCTCGATAGCATGAGGAAAGGCACTAACAAAATGCCATCATGCAAATTCTTTTGTTTCACAGATCAAGTGTAGGGTCTATAAAGTATAAAACAAAATCTTCCAGACTTCAAAATATCTCCTTGAATACCAGTGTATTGGTGCATTCAAGAAAACTAAAAAACCTTCTAACACTTGAAGAGCTTTGCCCTAAACCTGTACACCCATAGCATAGCTCATTTTCTCATCATCTTGAATTTCCTTCTTTGTCTCTTCTGTGTCAAATGTTCCTTTTTCCCACCCTTCTGTGTCTCTTTCCAGCAACACAGTATTTCAGTCTTCTACCATAATGATGTTGACTTAGAAGGTCTGTGACAGAATTAGTTCTGTCCTTTGAGATTTTGACACTAGCAGCACAGTATGGAATCACAGATTCAATGCTATACATAACTCCCATTGCTAGGGAATAAACAGAGTGACCACTTTTGAGTTGTTAACTTCATGTTTTAAATTTAGATGCAAGTACATGGTACTGGCAAAATATGTAGGCACCTAAAAGATGACTTGAGGCGTATGTATTTATTGTGGCGATATTCTGAAGGAATTAACATCTTTGTCCAAAAATGAGATTTAAAAAACTTCACTCAGCCACAGTGTAACTTGAGATTTAACTCCCCAGTTGCCTCTGTTTTACTTCAGATTCATTTGCCTTGTGATTGCTGAGCAGCTTATCTGCTTCTTCCTAGATAGCATGCAGGAAAAATAGTCACTTGCATAAGTACTCTCAGAGGCCTGCCATAGAAGTCTTTTTCAGGACATCGAATACACAGCATCATGAACTGATTGACACAAAATGCAGTAGTAGCTACTATTATCTCTTGAAAAACAGTAAATGTACACACATCCTGTTGTGAAATGGCCTACACCTTAACTCCTTAGTCAAACTTGATCTTGCCCTCAGTTTCAACATTAATTCAGACAAAGAGCCTGAAACAGACATCTTGGGCAGCCAGGGTCTTTCCAATTTCCACCTCAGTTTTCTGGTAGCCACCTCATATTAATTTTTTTATTCTGAATGGGTAATATTGCCTAAACCCACATTGCTCCCTGCAGGCTTCCAAAAATTGTCCTGAGAACTGAAGATTAAATAGGACCTTCAAAGAGGATCCTGAACTACTTTCTGAACAGTTCTATCCATGGTGATAAGAAATGTTCTCATTCCAAACAGCAGGAAGAAGAAATGTTCTTGTTCCAAACAGCAGGAAGCTAGCAATTAAATTGCTTTCCAGGAAATTAAACTGCATTTCCAGGAAAGAATCTTTGTCATTGACACGATCTCCAATTTCTTATGTGAGTGCACCAATTTTTAAGCTGACATGGGGAACATTCTCACCTACTTTTCCTCCTGTTTGTCTTTTAGGAAGGAAGACTGAGCCCTTTTCAGGGTTTTAAAAGACAGTGTTAGCCTGAGACAGGTTAGTGGCAGAAATCCAAGAATCCATCAAACTTCCATGCTGTTCAGGAGGAAGCACTCAAGATTACGGAGAGGGACAGAGTTCCAGGCACAACTCATACTAACTCTCAGGTGTTTAACTGCAGACCATGGTAAGTTTAGGAACCGGCACACTAAACACTCTGGATGTTCTGGAAGCCATTGTGAATTGGAAGACGCCATATTTGATAGAAGGCTCTGCAGCACCTAAGTCAAAGGTTTAGGCATCCAAGAGTTAGGTTAAAGATGAGATGTACTAAGCTCTCTGGTGAAGATTCACCGCTTAATTTGTGATGCAGAGACAGTGAGTCAGATCTCTTGCCCCAGAGTCAACAGCAGACCCAGTCAGATTAGTCTGACTAAAAGCAGATCCAGTCCACGCTATTTCTTCTAAAAGGCATGCTGCTTCTTTCTTGATTAAAAAATGCTTTTCTTTTTTTTCCCTGATCAATATATTATTTCTCATTTCTTGTTAATAAATGTTTCACAAAACACCTGACTAGAAGTCTCAAAAGATGGAAGATCAATGCAGTATGTTTGGTATCTTTTTTCCAGTAAGAATTTCATATTCCCATATTCCCATACTGGGAAAAATATATTACTGGATGAATGAGTTGTGGGATACAATAATGGGGGAAAAATGAGTTTAGTTTCTGTATTTTCACTCTTGATTTAATCTCTATCTGATCATGTGTCCTACTTAAAGGCTTTCACCTACTAACCTGCTAAGGGATCATTCCTATGCCTTTCCCAGAAGTCTTCAAATTCCTTGCGGACTTCTTCATCTATTACAACCCCTGCCAGCTGCTCATTGTTTACTTTAACATAGTTGGCTTTCAAAACAAGCTCCAAGTCACAGCGTGCACCCTCATGGAAAGGTTTCCACCTCTGCATTACCACTCCATACACTGTGATGTCATCTCCTGGAAGTAACAACAGAAATTAGTAAAATAACACCTGACTTGAGGTACATAGATGTATGAGCTGCAGTGCACAGCAATGCAATTGAGATCTTCTTGTTACAGTTAATAAGGTTAAAAAGATCAAGAAAAAGCAAACCTGCAGTTACTGCAAGTCTAAAACATTAAGCAGCTTGCTTGTGTCTACAGCAGGAAGCTGCTATGTGTTTTTATTTCTGTTTAAGGGAGGTGAATACTTAAAGGTATAGCTTTGCTTGTTTCCTCTTTTAGAAAAGAGGAATTCATGGTAAACTGTAGAAGCTCTTCTTTCAATTAGATTTATTATAAAAAATTTTAATCAAAATTTACTTGACTTCTGGTAACTTCAGTAATGAATTCCAGAATCACTCATTAACATTCTGGCTACAGTGTTCTTCTGAGAAAGCACAACCAGAAATTAATTTCTTCTGAGGATGTGCCTATATGAGAGGTTTTTGTCACTTCTTCATACATCCTCCTGACAATTAGCTTCCTTTTTGAATGCCAAGTAGCTTTCTCCACCTGCAGCACTCCTTAGATAGGAGGTCAGGTTACCTAGCTCTCCAGCCTACAGAGACACACCACATGCTGTGTGACAATGTGGACCAATCTCCTCAAGAGGTTTGGTGTTTCCACACTAACAAGATTTAATATACTTTCTGTACGGCACAGCACATTACTTACTGAAACTGGTCTGTCAAACAGTCAAGATGTAACATAGGGATGTATGACACTTTCTGTAGTATTATTCAACTGCCATGCTAACATCCAAGCTGAAATAGCAATGTGAGAAATGAACATAGCTCACTCAAGAAGCCCTCAGCACTGACAGCCTACTTGGCAAAGATTCACCTCAAACATAAAAATAAAAATGTGTATGGTACAAACATATGAGATACATGCTGTATCCTCACCAGACTTGCAACTGTCCACTAGGTCATCTTCTAGAACAACCACCATGCAACGAGGGATGCTTCCAACAGACAGTCTTTGAACCTAGGAAATGGAAGGAAAAGCACTTTTTAAAAACAGCACCTTTCAAAAGCCATTTATAGCTGCTCTGGCTTCAGGACCTACATTCCTTTCCTGAAACTGAGGTCAGGCCCCGTTTTTTTCTCAGAAAATGTACACAGTATGCACAGTATACATGCCACTGCTGCCATGAATTTACTGACAGAAGCTTAACGCTTATGTTAATGAGAACAGGACTGGGTATTAAATCAGCTGAAGGTGCTTAAACCTGGGAGGTGCTGTGTTATTTCAATATCTTGCTGAAGAAAGCTCACTAAACAAACTCATTTGAAAGAGGTGGGGGGTTGGTTTGGTTTGTTTTTTTTTTAATAATTTGAGATAGTTTTAGGTACCTGTTCAATATGCAAAGTTTACTTTGGGTGCTGAAGCACATCCATGGGTTAGAATAACCTTTCACTGAAGTATATACTGAAAGATTATTCTATATATTTTTCTGGTGCTTAACCATAATTTGACAGGCTGAGATGTAAGTTTACACCTGGGTGTCAAGGATTAAATCAACAACAGAAAAGGAAAATCACACACAACCAGAAAAACGTGTATTGACAAATGTGCCAGTAAGACCTGTAATTCTCTTTCTTTTCTCCGGGGCAAAATCTATACAGTCTTGTCACCATCTATTTCCAGCTAGCAATCTTTCCATTTACACTTAAAGGCTGCAATAGTTTTTAGAGTATCCACTGCACAATTACAACAATAAGAAGTACCTTTTCATGCTGCAGCACATGGTCATACATGCTAGAATTCTAGATTTATTCACTCCCTAGGGCCTAGGAAGGTTAATTTCCCCCTTGTATATTATCTAAATGGCCACAAATAGTTCATATCATTGTCAGTACTGGTGGCATATACACAGATACTTGCAGAGCTCAACAGGAGACACAAGTGAAATTCATTCCAGGTTTAACTTTACTGTGCTTAATAAGCCTATGCTGCTGAAAATCCTTCCCATCATAGAGATCTGTGTGTCACACAGAAAACCAAAAAAGAAATGGTCTAGAAACCATATGTCAGAAAAAAATCATTATATGAACATGTAACATGGGGCTTGTTTACTAGAAAGAGTTTTATTCCCTTATTTTTTTGCTATTCTGAACTTTTAAGAGCTTCATTTCGAATTTCATACATTTCTGTTCTCATACATACATTGCATGTAGATTGGCAACACTATCCTCTTAATCTATAAAACTAAAACCCTGAAACAACTGAAAATATCTTAGAAAAGGTTTATGAAAGAGATACTGAGCACATTAAAACCAGAAACGTTGCCTGCAATATAGCCTGCTTATTCTCAATATTCATACAGTGTAGATTTTCATGTGCCAGTTTTATCTCACTTATGCACTACTGTAAGAAGAGGCCCAATTGTTTCTTTCTCCTCCAGCTTAGCTGTACTTTCACCCAGGGCTACCTTCAGAAAAATGAATGCAAATTCTGTAAGGTTCACATATTCAATAATTGTTGAACTCAGTACTGGCTGAAGGGAACAGACATTTGCAGATACCATGTACTGACCACACCGCACCACAGCTGGCCTTGGCTACCACTGGGCTAGCTTTAGTCCTTAAAAGCAGCATTGAACATCAGCATCGTATAATATAAACACTTAGAGAAACAATGCACACTTGGTGTTGTAAGGATTTGCCATGGAAATTTCATCTAAGCACTGACCCTGGGTGTTTCATACAGTATTTAATGGAGTTACCTAATAATGCAAGTCTAGTTAACATGTGCCTACATTTTTAACTCTGACTGGAGATTGACCAGCAGGCTATCTGGCTTCTCTCGGTTTTCTCAGGCAGTTGTTTTAAACAGCAACAGAACCTGTAAAATTTTTCTGCTTCTCTTAGTATGTAAAACTTTCCAGTGGAAATGGGATAAATTTAATTCTGACATAAGCACCAACAGTATCACTAAAATAATGAGCCCTCAAATGCCTCCCTGAGTTAATTCTCTTTGTACTTGGCACACCTATACCTTAATATCCTCCTCTTCCCCCCCCCCCCTTTTTTTTTTACCTGTTCCTGAATTTTGATTTCTTGATAGTCTCTGCAGCAAGCAGGAGAAGAGGTTGTTCCAGAGAGACAGGTGAACTTGGTTGAGTTGCAGCCTTCTTCATTCAGACAGGCTGATGGACGACAGAATGTGTAGTACTGCTCAAAGTCAGCCTTGACAGCAAACACATGCTTGCACTTATTGCAGATATAACTCCGTTCAAACTCCAAAACTTTCACCAAACTGGTACGTATGACAGTCCCAGTAACAGACAAAAAGTGACCCACATCCCTGGCTTTAGGAATGTGCTCTCGAGTCAGCTCTGGGCAAACAGGCAAACCTGTTAAATAAAAATAAGCGCACCATAAGGCTATGCTTATAAAACATGGAGTTATAATGCAGTTAAACAGAAAGACTAGAAAAAATGCCAGACATATTAACAGTAGACATTGTTATTGCTGTTTCATAAATGTGATTCAACAATTCATCTGTTGTAAAATAAATCTGATTCACTGGCCTCAGTTAGTGAAAATCATCAGGCACTGAGCACTAACAGAAAATGTTGCTATTTTACTCTCCTACTCTTGCCAGGGGCTGAATAGTCACAAAGAGTTTCCAGTCATGGAAAGAGATACTGATGTTCTCAGATCTATTAATTAATTTAAATGATATTTAGACAAATACCATTTATTCTGCAACTGGTTTATCTGAATTGCAACATTTCAGTTATGGTACTTAATTGTAGTTCAGTGTTATTCCCGCAGTTAAACAAGTGTAACTCTTCATTTTATGTGAATTCTCAGGTCTAGGCAAATCTAAAGTTCCTAGTCTGTGAGCATCTGACCTTAAATCATAGAATGGTTTGGGTTGGAAGGGATCCTGCATACCAGTAAACCTCAAGCACAAGGAAGATGGCATAAAAAGAATATAAAGAGGCTACGAATGCAACAAAAGCAAATTCACTTTACGATCAAATGAACAGCGACAGAACACTTTCCACTTGCTCTCCTTTAATTCCACCCCAGCAGTCAGCTCTATAGTGTACCCATCCCACTCCAGCATTCACCTGTGTGGCCACCACAGCGACTGAAATCCTCAGGAAGGTTCATCCACCTCAAAAGCCTACAAAGTCTTTATGAAAATAAATGATCTCTGAAATGCACACCTGAGGACAGCATCAAAATATTGCCTCTTCATAAGTTAGTATATGAGCTACAAGATACTAAAGATTATCGACTTAAAAAGACACTGCCTGCTCTTAAAATAATTTCTTAGCTTTACTTCCAAAATAATGTTTCTAATGGGACCAAAACTATTTGTGTATTTAAGTCAAATCTTCTCAGTAGCCTTGTCTGCTAAAAAAAGGACAACATGTAATTATTTCGGTGTTTTCAAAACCAAATGTTTTATAAGAGTGGTGAGGCACTGGCACAGGCTGCCCAAAGAAGTTGTGAATGCTCCATCCCTGGCAGTGTTCAAGGCCAAGCTAGACAGAGCCTTGGGTGACATGATTTCATGTGAGGTGTCCCTGCCCAGGGGAGGTTGGAATTGGATGATCTTAAGGTCCTTTCAAACCCAAAGCATTCTATGCTTCTATTTCTATATGATTTCAGGCATGCTGAAACATTTCATTTTGATTCTTTTAAGCCAATTGTTTGGACTTCTGCTTTTGTTTAAAGAAAATATTTTAAAATATTCAGCTAATTTTAAAAGGTAAAAGAATAAAGTAAAAAAGGGAAACAGAAAAGTAGAAAGGAATGAAATATTCTGGAAAAGAAATGAGGTATTATGTAGAACTGCAAACAGATTTTTCTGGTTGATTGTGACAAAGCTGGTGACATATTTTACCAAACCTGCCGAAAATTGTTTTTCTCCCACAGGTTTGTATTAAAAAAAAAAAAAAAAAAAATCTTTTTTCCTAGCTCAGTATTGGTGCAGCTCAACAACCTTTGCAAAATACAACACATCTCACAATAGAGAGAGCTGCAGCACTGTTGTCAGGACATAGGTTACATCATCTCTGTGACTACTGAAGAGCCCACCGTATGAGTGGAAAACAAAGAGCCTTCATTCCGGTCATATCAGACTCTTTGACAAATTCTTTAACTGAGTATGTCCCTCTTTGCATTAGCTCTACTGTATTAATAATAACAAATAACTATTAGAAGCCGCTTGGCCATCAGTAACAGACACAGCAGTGCTCAGGCTAATGGTGAGTAAGGGAAAATCTTTTAATAGATTTGTAGCAAAAGGAGAAATTATACAGTCAAATTTCTACAATGCTAATTCAGGCAAAGAACTTCATCTTTTACTTTCTTCAGCAAACCTGGGGAAATCATCCATTATTAATCACTGCATATTCAGACTCCCCAGATCCTTCCTTGAACTCCCAGGCACCCTGTCCGTATTGGCATGAGCATGCTCAGAATCCACTCTTATACCTAGCACAAGAAAAAACACTTCCTCACTTCAGTCCAAGCCTGACATGCAGACACCCTCAGCCCCACCCCAGGTAGTTGCCTGCTCCTCCCACTGAAAAAAGTGCATCACCTTCTCCTCATTCCTGTTGGACATAGGATTGGGAAGTGGCACTCCAAGATGAGAATCCTGAAGGTAATCAGAACCCAACATCCACTTAAAAAGATAACAGTAGCATGGGAAAATCTTGGCAGAAAAAAAAGCCTACAGATCATTCATCTTATTGCTTTTGCTTCTTCAGGAGCCGGCCTTCCAGTGGTACGGAACATAAACCAAACTACAGGGACAGATGTCACTTTGATCCAGCAGGACTACACAAGGATAACCACCCTCTGTTCTTTATCAGTTTCCCGCTGGTTTAGTGGTGGAGTAATGTGTGAGTCTGCTGATTAACTTCTTTCATCAATCACTAGTCAGACTTGTTTTAATCAGTTCTTAAAACTATTTGACCAAACATGGCAAATTTTGCCTGAGGTAGATTAGGGAATATTTAGACAAAATATCACTCTGGGAGGAACGGTCAGCTCCAGTAGCAGGTTGATAACAGGAGCAAGAATGTCTTAAAGCCACCACTACTCATGCAGTGATTGTCTTCCCCTTCTTGTACTCCTTTTTAATACTTGCTGGTAGCTTATGAACTATTCATACTTTGAACATAAATAACCCTGTTTTCATGCTGAAGCCCTGAATGATGAAAATGCATCTTAGAACACTAGGGGGAAAGTTTTAATTCACTCCTACTTTTGTAGGTACAGGTTGATGCCCAACATTTCAACTTCTAGTACAACGAAGAAGCCATCCTTGTACACCACATATTCAGCTGTTTTGTACAAGCTCCTTAACACATGAGTTGGTAGCAAGTCTTTCCCTAAAACCCTGGAGAAGGTAGCACTATGAGAGAGGCAGGCTGATTAAATTTCTGATGTGTTTTTATGACAATATTTTTAATAAACTTACTTGGATGAAACACAGGCCTATTTAACAACTGTGATTCATCCAAGTTCAAGCTGTCAAGAGACTGAATGATCATTAACCACTCCAACACAGGGCAGAGGAAGGAAACAGAAGTTGCCAGCTCCTAGTTTTGCAGACTATTGCTTCAAATAGCTATAACCAGAAGTGACTGGTAAGGTCACCAGTGCCACCACTGTGCCACCCTACAACGGGCAAAACAGGCATTTTAACCCCAGAACCTGCACCCCACACTTACTATACCTCAAAACTACTAAAGGCTTCCTAATAATAAAGAAGAACGGCATATCATCTTGTAGTGAAAAAAAAAGGACAAAATCCTCTAATAAAGATCAATTGTTTCAACAGTTCATTCCCATTTTATAACAAGAAATTTTAGAACAATTAGTTAAGCGCAAAATTTGACAATTTCAGATGAAATTGTTACAAGACAACTCAGAATTCAGACTTTGCTTCTTCTGGGAGATGGCTGGAGCCAGTCAGGACTATGAACCAAGTGACACAGTAAAGAAGTCAAGCTGCAGGAAGGTCCATGAACTACGTATCTTTCACTAAAGCTTTTTTTCCTTTAGACCTTCTGGCTAGAAGGGGAATCATGTGAGACCAGCCACTGATTTGAGAAGTCCTTATGCCATGGATAGGCTCTGGTATGAGTACTGATCCAATGCCAGCCATTGCACACATGCCACTGGGGATGGCCACAGACTTTTCCCAGGTTGGTCTGCACAACTTTGCGTGTTTGCATGTGTTCTTTTCTGTTTAATAAACACTATGCATTCCCTAGCAAACCACAAGCATTAGAATCACAGACTCCTAGAACGGTTTTGGTTGGAACCTTAAGATTAGCTAGCTCTTGATCCCTCTGCCACGTGCAGGGACACCTTCCACTAGACCAGGCTGCTAAAAGCCCCCTCCTACCTGGCCTTGAATGAAACTTGCTCCTTCCCGTGACATCCCCATACTTTATTATGGCGTACGGACATTCGGCAGTCACGGCCACTCACCGGACACCCTGGCGTGGAGGTTCTGCTTCAGGCTGAGCTGCGGAGAGCCGGCAGCAGCATCCTGCAGCGCTGCCAGGGCCGCCCGGCGCAGCGCGCTGTCAAAAACCGTGAGTACCTCGCTGGGGAAGGCGTTGAAATACTCCCCGATCTCCATGTTGGTCTCAAAGAGCGTCAAGGCGTCAACGACCACAGGGTAGTGCGCCTCATCGTCGGCCTCCCTCAGGATGCCCAGGATGTCGTCCCTGTGGTGCTCCAGCACGTAGGACTCGAACACCTGACCGATGAGGTTCACCTGATCCGCGCGCAGCACCATGGTGCGCCTGCGAGACACGGTGGGCACCGGTGCTGAGGGCTCAGCCGAACGGGAAATTTGCGTTTGTCCCACTTGGGAAAAGCCCAGAGCGGGGCGCGAGCTTGGGGCTGCTGCGAGTGCGCGCCGCGGCCCCTCGTTGCCGCCCGCTCACGACCTGCTGGCGGGTGAGCGACGGGACCGCACCGGCCGCCGGCCACACGACACAGCCGCCGCCACAGCCACAGCCGCCGCTCTCAGACAGCTCCCGCCAACCAGCCGCTCCGCCCCGGTCTGTCCCAGCCAGCCAATCAGCTCCGCCCGCCGCCTGTCAGTCACCCTCGCCGCCCCGCCGCCTGACCCCGTCAGTCAGTCAGTCAGTCAGTCAGTCAGTCAGTCAGTCAGTCAGTCAGTCAGTCAGTCAGTCCGTCAGTCCGTCCCGGCGGCGGTGACGCGCTCCGCAAGCTCGCCCGCCGTGGCGCGCGGGGGGGGGGCGGCACCGGGCGGGGTCTCCCCTGCCCTCAGGCCAGAAAGTGCAACCGCCCGGCCATCCCTTCGCACGGAGGCGGGCCTGGGGGCACTGCAGCGACTTACCCCACCCGTCCCCAAGCGGTAGCAGGCGTGCGGCTCTGCAGCGCGGAGCCAGGCCCCCCGCTCCCACCCAAGCCGCCACCAGCACGGCAAGGTTTGAACGGCAATGTCCCGCGCTGCGCGGGAGGGAGGTGGGGCCGAGCCGACATTGCGCTGCCTCTCCCGCCCGCCTGCTGAGCGCTGCCCCAGGCGTGTCCCGGGCCGCCTCCGGGCAGCGCCGGATGCGGCGGCACTCCAAGCGCCAGCATCGGCGGCCCAGTCTACCCCAGGCCGACGTGGGCAGGGTTCCGCGGCCGTCCTTGCTCTCGCTCAGTACCTGCAGCACGGGACGCTGCTGATCCTCCAGCCGGGCTCCCGCTGCCGCTTCCTCACCCAGCAGAAGAGGCTCGGTCCCCGCCCCCTACGCGCCGCTTCACGCCCGGGCCCGGCGGTCCCCGAGCGGGGCAGTGGAGGGAGGGGCGGCAGCGGAGCCGCCTGCATGCGGGGCCGGGCCCGGTGGGGTAGCGGTGGCGCTTCCCTCCGGTGCCTTGACGGCCCCTGCCGCCGGGCTACCGGGAGGGCCGGACGCCCGGGAGTAGGTGGAGGGCGGCGGACTTGGCTGCCCGCCGAGCAGCGCGGAGCCCTGCGGGTGGAGTAGGGTGCTCCGTGGGGCCGGGGTGTCTCGGGTGATCTGCTGCTCGCGAACAGAAGGTTCTTGTTTCAACGGTGCTGCACGGTGTTTGTTGCCGAAACGTCTTCTGTCTCCTTCCCCCGTTACAAAGAGACCCTGCTCCCGTGTGCAATACGGCAGGATTGCGGGTGTTGCGAAAGACGGGTGTTGCGCAGCTGGGTAGCCCCAAGGTACCCGAAGCTCCTATTTGTTGATGCTTCCTGCAACCAACCTCTGCGCAATTTACAGATCCCATTCAATCTAAATTTGGCCTCTTTAAAGCGAGCTGCCTAACAAAGCAGTCAGTTCCGTCTTCTCTGTGAGGGTACATCACAGCAAAGTCTTGGGGAGTTTTGGAATTTTTATTTCTAATGTAGCTAGAAAATAGGGTTTGCTGGAGGCTTTCGCTTTTGTCTGGAATTTACAGTGGTGTTGTTTTGAATAGTTTCATATCTGTATGTTTTCTCTGAGCATGTATTACAACCCAGTGATACGCCTTAACTATGTGAAATATTTTATCTTTTAAATAATTAATTCTGTTTCAAAATTGAGTTCCAGGCATATGGAGTGGAGCTGGATTCCAGTGGCTCCAGAAGTATGCCTGTTGCTTTTCACTTTGGTTACTTTGCAGCATGTGTGTGCTCTTCCAGTTAAGTGTGAATTTTGCCCCCACTGAATTTGCCCACACTTCAGTGTAAGTAAGCTGTCTTCTGGATTACTACATGTATTTTCTCAGTACCTCTGATAGTATATTTGAATACGTTTTTCATATATCCATTTGAGTGTTGTGGTATCACAGAGAATAATCAAATGCCCTCTGTCATGGTTTAACACCTGCTGACAACTAAATACCATGGGAGCCACTCACAAACACTCACTCCCTCACACATGGGATGGGGAGGAGAATCAGAAAAACAGTAAACCCCATGGTTGAGATAAGAACAGTTTAATAATTACAGTAAGGTATAATATTACCCGTGCTGCTACAACTAATAATAATGAAAAGGGAAATTAAAGAAAATGTATAAACCAGAAAAAGCCCCACAAACAACAGTGGTGCACAGTGCAATTGCTCACCACTGTCTGACAGATATCCAGCCTGACCCGAGCAGCGATCTGGGCCTTCTGGGTGACTCCCCCCGTTTATATACTTGGCAGAGGCCTAGGAGAGTATGAGAACTGCCTGCTAATGCTGTGGTCAGGGTGGCTGGTACACTGAGAGAAATGGAGTTCAGAGGTCTGTCTCACTGAAAAGTTCTGGTTCAGTTTGTCTGCCTGGTTTTGTTATGGGATCCCACAGGTACTTCCAATGACTATAGCATATGTAAAGAAATGGATGTGTGTGTTTATATGACCAAAATGCACTGCAAAGTAAATTAGCTGATTTCTCTATGTAACTGTACATGGAAATAAGTCATATTTCCATTTAAAGCTTTTTGCCAAGGAATGTATACCTAAGTAAAACTGATACAATGCCCAACACCCAAAATCAGCTGAGCAACAGTACTATGAATTAGAGATTTGCCTTCATTATAGTAAAAAAAGGTTTAGCATTTGCCCATGAAGAATAGTAACAGTACTGGACTACATTGAACATACCAGGAAATAAGCAACACAGCTCTTGTAAGGAAAGTCAGTTGAATCTTTCAAAGCTGATATATTTTTACAAATGTTGGTTAATAAAAATTATAAAAATAAAATTCCTGGCTGGGTTCCTCACACCTACATGTAAGGCAACCAAGGCACTTAATTTGTTGCTGCTCTGAAGTCTTCATGCAATCAAGAGAGAAGCGGTCTGATGCAGCCGCCTGTTGACTGCAGAGGAGGTTGAAGGTCACTGTTTTCTTAAGTGATGTGACTCAGCCATTCCCTTTCTAAAGGAAGTAAATTACCACAAAGGAGAAAAACTTGGGGTCTCATTTTCTCAATGCAGAAATAGTGACATTTACCTGTACATAGCACTGGGATCATGTAACAAAATTCACATATAACTTACACCTTAAACAAGCAAGGGGTTGCTCTGACATCATGATCAGGTCTGACTTCTAATATTAACAGTGAAGTCTCCTGATACGCATTAGGAATTCCTTATGTCCTACACTTTTTAAATAGAGTTTCAGAGTAAGACTAAAACTTGAAAAAAAGTGAGTGACCTTTAGTCCAAAATTACCATTGTGATTTTCTAGCTATGGTTAGTGAGGCAGTGTATTTGTTAACAATTTATAGAAAAGAACCCCCATTTTCTTCAGCTGCCACACCAGAAAGGCAAGTGCTGCAACATGGGCTGTTGTTCAAAATCCCTCCATGTTCAGTTACAGGAACAGAAGCATTTTTTTCCCTAAGAAATGGCTGCTTTCAGTTTTGAAGTACAACTCATCAAAAAGGTCCTTTGTTGGAGTTTTCTAGTCTCAAAGAGCAATAAAGTCCAGAGACCACCTACATCAAGAGTGAAAAAATTACAATCTAAGAATGAAAACAAAATTATTGCAGCATTACAGAAACATTTAGGAAGAAAAGGTGATAAGTATATCCTAAAAAAAAAAAACCTATTCTATTTACTTCAGTTTTATAATACATCTGTATTCTTACTCTAAAGTGATCAAAGTTTACAAATCTAAGACATTTAATTTTAATTTAGATATTTTAAATGTAGAACTACTCAAACCAATTAGAAAATAATCCAAGTTTATTCTTCCAAAATAACAGATCATGAGAAAAGCAGAAGTGAAAAATTATTTAGAAAAAATAAGAATGCTAAAAATTCTATAACATTGACCCATGTAATTTATTGCCAGTACTTCTCATAGGACTAGTGTTTTCCTTGCAGCCTCAGGTAAATGTAGTACACATATGCTGAAGTACAGACTGATTATTACAATGCTGTTCTTCTGAAATGAAGGATTCTTCTGCATTTTCATAGAATCACAGGCTGGTTTGGGTTGGAACTGATCTTAAAAATCACCTGGTTCCAACCCCCCTGCCCTGGGCAGGGCCTCCTCCACTAGACCAGGCTGTTCAAAGCCCCATCCAGCCTCACCTTGAACTCAGCCAGGGATGGGGCAGCCACAGCTTCTCTGGGCAACCTGTTTCTCTGCCCTGTATTGCGTATAGCCTGTTACTTCCTTCTTCCACAGGAAAACACAGCAAAGGTTCAAATATTTTTTTCTTTATTATTTGCTCTTTCACCTTTTTTTTTTTCTCAATAAATGTAAAGGGTCAAAGGAATTAGTTATTTCAAGTGCTGATAATGAGATTTAATGTGTCAGAGCGCAGAGAGGGAGCTCCTGAGAGCCAAAAGATTTTCCCACCATTGTAAATAATACTATGCATCTTCAGGATAATTCTTTACCTCCTTACTCAGTTGGCTGTTGAGCCAGGAAAGAGCAAATGCATGTGTGAACAGAGGCTCTGCAGAACTCTGCATAGCTGAGTTTTCCAGAATACCAGATACTGCAAATACCAGGAACACCATGGTATTGCAGTAATGCCAGCTCCAATCCCAAATGCCAGATATTAACTTTTTTTTTTTAGGAATACATTTTACGGAGTTCTCTGTAACATTTGTGAGAAAATCAAGTTTTTTTTCCTAGTTACTTCTGGTTGGTTTGGGACTCCCTTTGTTTGGTTGGTCTTTAGAGCCTGATTCAATAATGGAACAGCTGCTGACTGGTGCAGATACAGTGACTGAGTCGCTTCCGAAAGGCAAGCGCTTACTAGTAAAAAACCAAGGGGCATACCTTTTACTGAATAAATAAATGCAGATATTATCATCTTCACATTACTGTTATTAATTCCGTATGTAAAAATG